CTTAAATAGCTTATTTGAGGCCAATAAGTTTATAAATAGAGGGCCATATGGCTGTTCTGCAAAGATTTTGTTTTCATTAATAAATAATTAAGATTAGTTAGCTGGTTTGGTGTGCCACCTTTCTAGTCTATCTTTCAGTCTCCATGTTCTCTGCTAATTCCCTTTCTGTGGCACACCATATTCATTTAGATTTCCTGCCTTGTACTATTATTGGATTTTATCTGGTGTAAATTTGTGTTAGAAATTAGGAGGCGAGAGGTAAATTTGTTCTCTACTTGGCCTGCCAATAAACGTGAACCAAATTCAGTATTGTTGACTCTGCTTGTTGGCATTATATTTCCTTGGCAGGAAGTTTTGGAGACTGAGTGCTGCTGAATTGTCAGATTTTGGCTGTTTTCTTGTGTTGGCTTTAGGTGTTGCTTCTCTACAGTTAGCAGGTACATTGCCCGCATACTTTAAGCTACATCAAATTATTCTATATCTTCTAACCTTTATAAGTGTTGCCTTTTACCATGAAATGACTTGCGCACTGTACCTCGTACAATTGCCTACTTATGAATCAGATATTAGCCTAATATATCACTTCATACGAGGACAAGGAACCATTAAATTGTATGTGGTGTACAATGTATTGGAGGTGAGCTGATAGGGCACAGGAATTTTTTAAACTCTGTTCCTTTGAAGATTGATGCTAACATTTAGAATTTGTTTCAGATATTTGACAAACTTTGTCAGTCATTTGGTGAAGATGTTTTGCAAGTTCTCTTCGACTCTGCAGAGGGACTTTCAACATGCCCCCCAGATAATATGAAATTTGAACTGATTAGATTTATTCTTGATGAAGCCATTGCAGTCATTGCTTTTGATATCCTTTGTCACAAGTGACTTCTCTTTTTTAAAATTCTGCTAGGATGAACATAGTAAATATCTTTCCTTAACTACTAGTACTTGTCCATTCTTTTATATTGTTAGCTCAGGCTATCACATTATCGACTTGCATTATTGCTCACAATAATGCTGTGCTTGCTCTACTGGTGTCAAATAATTTTGCTGAGATTAAAAGCAATGTATTCAAGCGTGTTAGCAAAGAAAACCTTCACAATTTGGTATACTATGGTGAGTTTGTTTATATTTTATCAATCTGAATCATTTGAACAGGTGGAACTCCCATGTTATTTCCTTTGTGTTGCATTGCCTTTTAGCGAGTGACTGCAATGGGGTGCCTCTTTTTCTATTCACATCATAGGTACCGATTGTTAATTGAAATTGCTGATACACAACTATTTTTTGGCTAGGAATTTAATATTAATGGTATTTATTGGACAAAATATGCGAAATATGCACATTGCTGATTTTTAGCCTTGATTTCTTGCATGAGATGATTGTGAAATAGAAAATCAAGCTGCTTGCACCGAATGTTGGTGATAATGAATTGGCCAACATTTTGTGATCATCCTAGAGGATGATGTGCTTTCAGATAGATAATATGTTTTTGTACTTGTTTGATGTGGTGAAATATTTAAGTACCAAAAATCATTCTTCCAAATGATGCAATGTTCTATTTAAACATCCTAATTGTCCCACATTGGAAGTGTGAGGAGGATTATATTAAGGCAAGATGAGTCCATAGGTATTAAATTGACCTAAGCATTTTCGGTCATGTGGTTTTAGGGCTTTAGGTTATTTGACCAATGGCCTGATTGATCCAGGTTGTGACAAATATGTGGACCTAGTACTAGGTAAGGTGAGGTGACCGAAGTAGGAAGGAACTGCCCACGGTGGATAGGGCTGGAGGCACTTCAAGTCTTTACTTTTCTATTTTCCAACAAAATTTCTTGGTTGTTTGATGAACTGCTGTGGTATATTGTTGAATTAGCTTAGAAAGTTGTATTGAGTTCTAAGTAAGAGTTACTTACTTCTCTTTATATTCTAACACTGATGATCAGATATAATAGAGAGATTCCACATCACAGCTTTTGTGCTGTTTGTGCTAGCTCAGAATATCTTGGAGGCCGAGGGACCCTGGTTTGAGAGTTTTATTACTGTAAGTTGCATCCTCCATTGGCAAACATGGTTTTCTTCTCATGATTAGTGTTCATATCGAAGAGTTTATCTCAATCATTGTATAAGCTACCAATAACTTTTACCATGTTCCAGAATGCCCTTCTGGTTTACATGTGTGAGGTGCTTGTTGATGCAATCAAGCATTCGTTCCTGGCAAAGTTCAATGAAATAAAGCCCATTGCATACTCAGAGTTTTTGGAAGACCTTTGTGAGCAGGTAAATCTAGTTCATATTTGGTTATTGTTTTTCACATTTTAACATATTTTAGCTTAATGTGCTTCCAGGCCATTGATTTTTAACTTCTTGTGGTGAAGTTCCTTTATAGTGCCTGGAAAATATAGACATGGGAAATGGTCACTACAGAAACTTTTACAGGCATTTTCATAGAGCACAATAATACAATCATACTTGGACTATGTACCTAAGCATCACATAATACAATCACATTCTGACACAGAAAATTTATGCAATGCAATCTATGATCATCATATACATAAGTGCAGTATTTATATATACAGATAGCATTTATATGTATTGCCAATGTTCAGTACCTTTTGAAGCCTTGTATAGATAAGTAACCTATGCATACTGTCAGTAACATAAACAAGTTTACATGGTCCAACAGTCCCAATATTCCAATATTCAGTACATTTTGAAGCCTTGTATAGACAAGTAATCTCTGTGTATCGTCAGCAACATAAATAAGTTTAGATAGTCCAAGAGCCCCAATATTTTTTGAAGCGCGGGTGTCTGACATAGGCATAACAAGCATTTAAAGTATACATGTTTCGTAAGAATAACATGTATTTTTAAGTATCTGACGCTGGTAATGGTGTACTGAATAGAAATTTATTCAAGTATCTTTTCTGTTCTGAACTGTGATCTGTTCAGAGTACATTTTCAACTTCTTTCTGTTCTGTTAACTTGAGCGAATGTGTACCATATGCTACCATTTTACAGATTCTGCTCTCATAGTTTATATCAAAAAGTAGTTTGAGGATGAATCTTGGTATAGTGGTAAGGTTGCTCCTTTGCAACTTTTGTCTAATGTTTGAGTCACTAAAACTGTATATTCGCTTGCGGGAATGTTTCTATACGCATTGACCCTTTCCACACTCTGCATAAGTAGAAGGCTCATGTACTAGGCCACCCTGTTTTTTAGTTTGAGCTGTAGAAACTTAGGAAGTAACTGAATAGCAGACTTTAACAATGTGAATCCCCACACCACATGACTATTTTCATTTTCCAAAGTTCTTTCAATAGCCAAAAATATTGGTTTCATTTCATGTCTGCTCTAATAGACATGTTTCAGTGGTATAAACTATGCACAAAAAGACTACTGTCACTTTAAATCTCAACTTTAGCATTGCATAAATTATATACTGAGGAGATATAAATTTAGTAAACATATTAATTTATAGAATAAGCACAGCCATAAGAATTCCATGTAATTTGAATTTAATCACATCAGACTATGGGCACAAACTTGACTATTTCTGATTCCATGGTATTTTCTTGTTTATATTAATTATCATACAATAGGACCTCTTGGGAGGAGTCCTAATAATTTACTTCTTTACCTTTTTTTGAACAGTGTTTTTGTATGTATCTGTAAGTTCCTTGGATCAGATCAAAATCTGTCCATTTTGGACAATAGAAGAACTTCAGATGGAATTTTACACCAGACAACTTTAGTAGACAACCATTTTGCTTGTAAATGTAGCTTTCTACACAGGTGTCAAATGGAACAAGTAGCCAATTGCTTAAAGATTTGGCTCTAATTGGAAGCGACTGATTAATGTGGTAGAAACCTCTAATTTTGAAAGAGGACTTTTATTAGTAGAATGATTACTTACCTCATTTCATGTTTCTGCGAGAATCTTCCTTTTTCTCGTCAGCAATGCATGTGTTATTGCTAGTTTTTTTACATTGGTGCTTGCCTATTTAATCAAATTGCTTTTAGGTTTATAGAAATTGTATTGCCCATTGCATGATATCATCTCGTAATTGACATCGTCAGACTCTGAATGAGAAGCCCGATGAAGGACGCAAAGATCTTACTTTCATACCTCTCGCGCCAGCCTGCGTGGTAGGTTAAGAGCACTGGTTTTCATGTACAACCATTGTTTATTGTGATTGTCGACTGAGAACTACTTTGTAACTTGGTTTAGGTCATCAGAGTACTGACGCCAGTTTATGCTCACCTTCTTCCTTCTGGACCGCTCCCCTGGAGGTTAGTATGGATCCTCTTCTTGTCAAGCCTGACCTATATCATGCTTGCAATTTGGAAGATTCTAGTTGGATTGAGCCTGCGCCGTCTTGCCACTTGGTACATCAAGCTTCGCCGTGACAGAAAACAGCACATGGACTAACTTCTTCTTTGCTCGATTCATGCTACGAGGGATCATCGAGTTGTCTATAGTCTGCGGCTGATGAGCGTGCAATTAAAAGGTGCAACTCTCATCGTTCTCGATAAGTGCAGATACACGAGTCAGAGCAGCTTCTTTCCCTTTTATTGAGCTTTTACTAGAGCAGTCCTTACATGTTTCCTCGACTGCAACTTTAACCAATTTTGCTTGTATATGCTTCTGATCCGTTCTACCACATCTGGTCCTCTGATGGATTCAAGAAACTATTGCCTCCGTAATATTTTACGGATGGGAGTATCATAACACGTCTTTCTGAATTTAAAGGATGCAACAACTATTTAGGGTGTCATTCCAATGGCTTTATCTAACATTTGAAATGGGTTCCTTTGGTCTGCTAGGATTGGGCTCCATTACTTTCCTTCCCTTCAAGAGTTCTATTTATCTTAGCACTACTCTTTCTCGATCCTCTTTTTCTTTTTCTTTTTTCCTATCTCAACTCCTATTTCTTCAGTGTCAACCTTTACATCTGCAACTTCTTCCGGCCTTCTACAAACATACTGAGCCACGTTTACTTGTGCCAAACTGTACTAATCCCATAATTGGGATTTGGAAATTTGAGGACACACTTGTAGTTTCATCTGTACAACCATAGAACCCATCGGATCGCCAGTGTTATCCTTCGTACACAAACAAATCAACGAATGTTATGCATGGGGGATCCATCGATCCCTTCTCTTTTTGCACTGTATTATACCCTTACACTGCCCCTCGGGGACGTCAGTAAAGAAAATGAATGTGTTGCTGCCGTGACAAAAGTCATGTCCGTCAAAGCTCGCTCGCACCCAAGGCGACTCTTCTCACTACATCTGGCCGGCCGCCATCACTGATCTCCCGCACCTGGCGCAGAAGAACAGCGGGGGCACCGGCTCGCCGTCGCCGATGCCGGCGCACCGCGTGTGGTGCCACATGTCGCACGCGTCGCAGGCCACCATGCGCTCCCCGTCGTCGTCCTGCGCCCCGCAGGCGCACCCCACGGACCACGTGTCCGCGCCGCCCTCGTACCTCAACACTGAGTCCATGTCCGTGCCGTCCCCGCGCACCCACACCAGCGCCCCGGACTCCGCCCCGCCCAGCAGCACCGGCTCCCAGTCCTTCCCCTCCACCCCCTCCATCTCCTCCACCCTGAACCCCTCCATCACGCAGTACGTGTCCCGCATCGCCCGCTCTGCCTCCGCTCTCAGCTCCCCCACCGACGCCGTCGCCTCCACCACTACCACCTCCGGCGGCGGCAGTGCCCGCGTCAGCTCCTCCAGCTCCTCCTGATTCGGAACCCACATGACCAGGAACCGGAGCCGGTCGTCCACGTCGTCCTGCAGTCCCCACTGCTTTACCCAGTGCTTGGCGTCCAGCACCTTTCCCGCCGCCTCTGGCTGCGCCGCCAACATGCTCCGGTACACTGTCAGAAGGTCCCTCTCCACCTGCAGAGCGCCCGGCCATGCCGGTCTAGCGACCACTACTACATCCTCGTTCTGCTCCGTCTTTGCTGCTGCTGCCGCCGCCGCCGCCGCAGGCGCAGGAGATGGGAACTCCTCCAGGCTGAACTCGAGCACCCTGCTGGTGGGATTTGACGTGCGGCGCACAAGATGGTCCCCCACGATGCAATCGCCGAGGGACTTCAGCACAAAATCAAGGAGGCCGGTGTCACCGATCGTGAGCCGCGCGGCCTCGCGGACCTCCTGCCGTGTCATCTTCCGTCCGTGCCGTTTGAGGGCGTCCACGATGACCTGAGCAGAGGAGTGGAGCCGCCGCAGCGGCCATCGGCTCTGCATCTCGGCCGCGACCTTGGTGAAGTCGCGGTATCCCTTCCTCACCGCCTTCTTCATCGCCCTCCTCGGCAATGGCGCGGGGGAGGGCGATGGTGGAAGCGGCATTGTTTGTGCTGCCGGCCGGTGCTTCAGCTCGAGGAGGAAGCGGACGAAGTCGCGGACGGTGACGAGTGGCTTAGTGTCGCGGTCGGGCAAATGGAGGTTGCGGTAGGCGACTGCGACGCGGCGAAGCTCGCGGCTTTGACCGGTGTTGGCGAGGACGACGATCAGTTCCTCGATGCGGAGCGACGACAGGACGCGAAGGGCTCGGTCGTAGGCCTCTTGTGTGACGCCGTAGCTTCCCTTAAAGAAGTGGTAGCCCCAGCGGGCGAACCAGGACGCGCCATGGGCCACGCCGAGGAGGAGACGGAGGTCCATCAATGCCTTGCCCGACACGTCCTCCACCGACACTGCCCTGGCACGCAGCAGAGTCCACGCAAGGTAAATTGAGCAAAGTAGCAAACGGCAGGGCCAATACAACAGATGAACGTTCTCATTAAGTTACCGGACGCGGAGGGCGGTGCAGAGACGGTCGAAGAGGCCCATGAAGTCGCGACCGGAGATGAAGTTGGAGCCGCCGTCGCGGCCGTTGACGAGGATGAGGTGGCCGAAGCCGTTGCAGTGGAGGAGGCCGTGGAGAAGGTGGCTGCGGACGAAGAAGGCGTCGGGGCGGAGGGGCTTGTCCCAGTCGCCGTCGGCCGGGATGATCAAGTGGTAACGCCGCTTCGACACCAAGTGGTGGCTCCATCCTGCTATGCCAACCAAACACGCTTGAGAAGCAGCAACAACAACAACAACACCAGAAGCAATCTCTCCTCTAATTTCCCAATTCCTAACACCAAAGAAGGCAAAGAAATGTGCGGCCTTTTTCCAACATTGGGTTCCCCATGCCCCTGTTTCGCTATTCCATTCTCACAGACTTCGTTATCTCTTCGATTAGGTTTGGGGGTTTGGAGGTGGTTATCATCTACAACGAGGCAAGAGAGCGCTGATGAAGACGCTTGGAACAATTTGGCAAGAAAACCCTTATTGATGCAATATTGTGAATAGACAGAGCAGAGATTTGGTATTTCCTCTACAGAGGAAGCAGATGATGATGTTAACACGCAGGGAACCAAGATGGAATGGCTAAAATTCTCGGTTTGGAACTTTGGAGAAGACGAAATCCCCGATTCGCAAAATTGCCAAGACCGATCAAAATGGGTTTAGCAAGAAGAAACGAGAGGGAAAACCCCTACAGAACAGAATCGTGATCACCCCATGGGAAACCCAATTGGTACCAAGAACGAGATAGGAACTCACCGCTGCAGCGGCAGTAGTCGCAGAAGGGGATGGGGGAGCGGCGGACGCACTCCTCGACGGTGTAGAGCGGCACCACCAGCCCGCTCTGCTCGTCCACCAGCAGCGTGCGCCACGTCGGCATTCCCGCCGTAGCCCGCTCCTCGATGTCGGCGCACTCTCGCACGAACCGTCGCACGTTGTCCCGGAACGCACCGTAGAAGTCCGTCGGGCACCCCGGGTCCAGGAATGTGCGCAGCCCGTAGATCCTCGCCGACGCCTTCCTCCTCCCAGTCGGGTCCGCCCCCACCAATGCCATCGCTTGCCCCCGCCGCCGCCCCCTATTTGTATTTTGTATCTTCTTCTCCCGTCTCCCTCCTCTCTCGCTTCCCGCCGTCGGTAGCCTTCAACTACCTAGTCCATTGCTACCAGTGAAAATACCAAATTGCCCTTGTGTTTTAAGGAGATCGACGAAGCGTGAGATGGAATAGAGTAAAAGTATATGGTGTTTTAGGTAATTGAGCATAACAGACTATTGTCTCCGTCCACCTCGCAGGCGACCGACCGCTACTGCCTGCACGTGATCGGACGGCGGTCGTCTGATCTGTTTGCAAGCTTTGGCTTCGATCACTGCCGTCGATTCACTCTAACAGTCTTCTCAGGGTACGTGCGGGGACACGTGGTGGGCAGTTGCGGTTTTACAAATTTCTGTGCATATAAATGCCATTAACTTATCATATCTAATTAAGTAGATGCAAACATAATTCCAATAAGCTATTGGGTATGAAATTGGTGAGCCATGTTGAGTCAAATTGATGCGGATTGGGTCAGATTGGAGGATGGTGTTCGTTGCATTGAGTGCGTCTTGCTTTCAACCGCCGGCCCACCAAAGGATAAGTGGGCCTCCAATTGGGCCCGAGAAACGTCGTGATCTCGCCGGAGGTCCTCTGTATAGATGTAAACGAGAATCGAGTGCTTCTTGCCTTACACTGCCGGGCCCCTTTCATCCCTCCTCCTCCGTCTCCGAATCCGCGTCTAGCCCTAATCTTGGATGAGAAGCCTTCCGCCGATCTGAAGCACTTTCATCTTGATTTCTTGATTGGGTTTCACTGAGATATGGGTCCTGCAAGTACCCTATCTTGCCTTGTGAGGTTCCTTATGTATGTTGTGTGATCTTTTTCTCGATCATTCGCTCAGGACTTATGAATTCAATTAACGCTGTAGGCTTTGTTGATTGGTCCCTACTGCTCAATTGATACAGAGTTTTGATCTATTCTTGTTTTCTTGATCGATTTGTTGTGCAGGAGGATTTTTCGTTCTGGAAGAGTGAGGAGGACATGATACATGCGCAATTACATGGGACAAAATGTGTGTTCTGCTTGTTACCGCTCTTACCTTATTGTTTTGGTAACTTGTGCAACCTTTTCTTTTAATTCTTTCGATCAAATGCCGTATAAACTTTGGAGAGTTCTATCAGAAGTCATATCATACAACGCAGAGTTTTGTATATTCAGTTTGCTTCAAATGTCATTTATATCAGACTTACTTAGATTATTTGATATTAAAGATGCATTTCATGTATTATTTTCACTAGATCAGAACTTTTTTTTTGGGTGCAATAGTCTGTAGAAATAATCTCATTTATAGGACATTTGATTTTCATGTGGTAGTCTACAGCAGTAATCTCAATTTTCTAGTACAGCCTACTTTTTTGTGCAGTGGGTTAAGAAATGTTCTCATACCAAAAGCAACCAACTTTTCTTGCTAATGGTTTTCAAGCAAGCATTTTGTATGCATTCTTTGGGTTTGTTGGTCCTGAATGCACTTCAGCTACTGTCCATACGGGTAACCGGTAGAATTATTTAGTTGGCAGCTACCTGTCTTATGATATGGTAATGTTCTTGAACCTGGGTCAATGTCAATGCAGATGGGCATGTTAATGTGGATGACCTATTCAATCCACAGATAAGTATGTGCATAAAAGATTTTCCATTAACAAGTTAAACCGGTGATATTCAGTGTATATTATCAGTGTATGTGTATGTTGGTGAAACAATAGATATTTTCATATCTACCATACTAGTGTGTTTTATAACATCATTATAAGCATTAATAGCAAAAATGAAGGATCATGCATATACAGAAGCATATAATTATTGAAATGCAAATTAGGTTGTTATACTGAATCAAAGTCTGGTTGGGTATAATTTAACAAGCTTGTAGCCAGATTCAAAAGGTACAATGGATCCTTACCCAACTCATAGATGATTGCTGGGTCTTTTTTGTAGGAATTGATTGTGTTTGGACATTTTCATACAGATGAGGACCCTAGCCCTGTGGACAAGCAAACTGAACTGGATCATATTAGTTAAACCTGGTTTGTGGCGTTCAACGTCACCTGTGAATTATCACTTCATCACCATGAATTTGTATCGGGGCTTTGTTTCGGTCCAATTATTGACGTCCATGTGATAGCCCTTTCCCAGTGGATAAGCATTAAAACTTGGCTTACATTGGTTGAAGCTGTGCCTCTGGCGAGTTCTGAGCATCTATTTTCATCTACTGGCAGACAAAGCTCCTGGATATCTGAAGAAGAATCTGGCATGGCAAATGTTGCCTCAGCATCACCTGCAGAGTCACAAGCTGTTTGTTCTGTCAAATTCTCCGGTTGATTCTTATGTTGCTTAAAATAGGGTGACATGGCCTATCATTTGTGCTACACGAAATCAGTCAGTGTACCCTTTGAATTAGCTAAAGACGAGATCTGGCTCATCTGCAAATGGACGATAGAAAGATCTTCGTTGCGTCAGTTACGATTAGTAAGAATGATGGTGTTGTGAAAAATATGGATGAATCCTGAGAAAATATTTGAGTAATGGATTGACATTAGCATGTGGTGGTACCTCAGATAGTTTATGATGTAGTTGTTCTTGGATTCTTGTGCGCACATCTCACTTCTGGTACATACTCTTTTCAGATGGTTTAGGATGCACTTGTTCTGTGATCAAGATGATCGGTTGGCTTTGATTGCCTGGTTGGCAGCGGCATCCTGTGCTGCCGCTTGTCTGGATGTGGAAGACCCTTGGGATGGCCAACGATGATGATTGGCAAGTGAGGCATGTTCATTACTAGTTCCTACCACTCTCACCTCTCTTTTCTTTGCTGTTCATTACGCTTGCTAGTCGCCATGCCATTTTATTCCAGTCAATGTTCAAAGGCATATCTTTAGCTTACTATTCTCAGATGAACCTTCTAATAAATGGTGCAGATTCATGTTGAACAGGTCAGTTTCGGAAGACATCCAGTCAGCTAATGGTATTTCTTTCATTTTCTGCATTAAAAGTTATGCATCTCGAAGCAGGTAGATGTCAGAGTCGAGCTCCCTGAGGAGGGAGGTGGGGGCAGTATGGAGTCATGGGTGAGTCGAGACTGTGCACTGCTGCCTCCACCAGTGCTAAGTTCTCGTAATAAATATGCAGAGAATGGAATAGCTTTGTAAAATCTTGAGATATCTCGTCTTTACAAACAATGGAAGCGCTCTCGATACATGCATCCTATATTGTGGAAAGCCACAAAGTATCGTGACACTCAAAAAGAAAGGAAACCTTCTCGGATCTTCTTCAAATTGGTTCTCTCAATTATCTGTCTTTGTAAATTGATTTCATGGAACTTAGGGGGGCTCTCATGTTCTTAAGAGGTTATCTACATCATTTTGACAACTAAGGATTGAAATTTTGTATCGTATTAGAGTTTCGAACTTCACTCAATACGGTACGGTATTGTGTACTAAGCAATACACCAAGGCGTACCAAGCGGTACATCTAATTTATGCATAAAATTCTTCAAAAAATCTGAAAAAAAAAAAAAAAAAGTTAGGATAGGATTTTTAAGTTATAAAAAAATATAGTAATAAGTTTAACAAAATCAATGTAAACTAGGTAAGTAAGAATAGTAGTACATTTTTTTTTAATTTTGAGGAATAGTCTTATGTAAGATTCATATTTCGTGTCCTTCTATAAATATTAAAATATTTATAAAAAAATCATATGAATTGTTATATTATTTTATTATAATATAAATTTTAAAATTTAAATGAATTAAATAATTATATATGTAGATATACTTGATTGTTGATTCTACCATTAAAACGAACGATGGGTCTTTACGGGTGGTGGATCGAGGTCCTCGATCCTATATATATGTATATCAATATGATATGTTTGTTGGATCCAATCATGAAATTTATCTCACTACACAGTGTATTAATATACCATATGTCATTGGTGCATTAATGTGGTAATGATCATAGGTTGATCGTTATGAATCACATTTGTTCGAGGTGATTCTTGAGGCATATATTGGTGAATGTCAAAGTTTCTATTTTCGCTATTGATTTGTTACTTTATATCATGTTGTTGCTCAGAGAAGTATGACCAATTATCACCATACTTTTGTTAATCGTATGATTCTTCATAATACGACGGTTGTGAATACGATAAGTTTCATTCTGTGTCTATATCATGTAGGTTATGTTGCATCTACTCAAATTCATCAATTATCTTTCTCTTTCCCTTTCACGCATAAACTTGACTAGTACCTTGTCGAGTTCCATGATCTGAATCTTGGGTGGTATATGTAAAATATTGTTTCTCGGTCCATGTGTAAAATACGAGTTTAGGAGCATGCAAATGTGAAAAAAAAATGAGTTTAAGATAGTTTAAGAGAGTGTGAAAGTGAACTAGAGTGAAGTATGGGAGAAGATGAATTTAAAAACCCATGAGAAAGGATTCTAACGATCATTTTGATCATTGGAGTACTATTACATATCGATAACGATCAATTTCGATCGTTACCGAGCTATGTCGAGCGAGAATGATCGATCGTTACCAAGTTATGCTAAGCGGTAATGATCAAAATTTTAATCGTTATCATTCGGTTTACCCCCGTATCGTCTGATACGAGGTGTTACTGAGCATTTCGTCCGATAGTGAATGATTCACGTATCGATATACTATCGGATTGATACATACTGTCTATACCGAATGATATTATTCAAAATTAAAAATGCTGATGATAACATCCAAGCGTTATATCTTTAGCAACTGTACAGCCAGACCTCTAAAGCAATCGTCTGCCGACAATACGAACGTTGCTTCATAATTAATATATGGAATGAGACCGTGAAGTCCCTCGCTACGGGTCTAATTAACTTTATGCTGGACATACGGAGACCTCGTGTTTCATTCATCTCTTTCGTTCTATTTTGTCGTATCAGTTATCTATTTTGTCTAATGTTTCATTCATCTCTTTTGTTCTATTTTGTCGTATCAATTGTCTATTTTGTCTAACGTTTTAAAAGAGAAAAAAGTAGATTTGACTGAGTCAGACAAGAACACAACGGCATCGTGTTATGGGGCCACGTGGGTGAACAAGATCCATGGGGATGTTGGTAGAATGTTGACACATTGAAATGGGGCCACCCACCATGCTTTGTCGCGTGTGGCCTGGCATTCCAAATGTTGCTTTGTCGGTGTGGCGGTACGACAAACAACACCATCAAATCGTCGATGCAGCGTGTGGCGTGGCATTCCAGAAGCCAATAACTTCGTCGGGATCAGCGTCCGGCACAGGGACGTCCTCCCCATCGCGCCACTAGTATCACCAAGCGACGGCCGCGGCTTCACACCCGGGTACGCATGGAAAACGAAGGCCGAGTCCATGTTCAACGTGGAATCACGCCGCAATCCACACATCCGTCACATTTCTCACCCCAAATAAATCTTTTGCTCCTCCTAGTAGGTTCTACAACTTTCTAGTGTTTAGATTAGGGCCAAGTGACAGCAATGTTTCTCCTCTAGAATCAATCCTTTTTTGGAGCCCGTCTTGTTCATCTACTTACATACATCCCCTGTTTGACCGTCGTAAACAAAAGATGGGGGTCGCCTAAGATCACAGAGGCATGCCGTTAAGTATATCTATCGGAAGGAAAAAGTAATTAAATCACACAGGCGTTGAGATCCAATCTAAGGTTTGTGAGACAAAACATGTTCTTTTCTATTCTTCTTAACAAGTAACCAACAACAACATCCTAATGTATTTTGTACAAATATCTGAGTCCTTCCACATACAACGTCGAAGAATGATCGATCTCTGTGCTGTGTTACGTTCTTGCCTCTGCCCACTGTCAACCAGTTGATGCTCACAAGGGCTTCTTGAGCCCCTTGAAATCCATGGTGTCGACGCATTCGTACGCCTCCCTGTGACCATCCAATTGTTTGATGAGGTCGGTGGCCTTCTCCTTGGTCTCCCCGCTGCACCCCACCTGCAGCAGCAGCAGCAGTTTCTGAAAGGCACCTACTCGCAGCGCCTCCTGCAAGCATCTCCCCTTCCCTTCTCCTTCCTCTCCCTCGTTCCTGCACAGCTTCCACAGCGCCGACACGACCAGCTCCGTCGCCATGTCCGACACCCGGAACATCTTCTTCACCAGCACCGGCACCGTGAGCGCGTGTTGCCGGGCCTTCTCCCTGCCGCCCTCGCAGCTCAGCAGCCCTTCGAGCACCGCCAATGCCTTCTCGTTCATGCTCTTCTCCGGCTCCACCAGGGCCTCTACCAGCACAGGCACCAGCCCCAGATCGACTACCTGCGCTGCCGTCCTCTCGTCGTGGCTAACCATGTAGAAGATGGCCACCAGAGACGCCTTCGTGGCCTGAGGGAAGATGGGCTCCTTGACGAGCTTGGCCAGTGCTTCCACCAGCCCCTTCGTCCCGGCAACGGCGTCCACCTTCGCTCCGCTGGATGCGAGAAGCTGCTTCACCACCAACGCCGCGCTGAGCCTTGCAGCCAAATTACCATGCGTCAAGATCGACACCAGGCACCCGAGCGACTCGGGCGATCCCATGTGCGAAGCGGCTTCCTCGTCCAGCGGCGACACCGTCGCCAGCGCTGCCAAGATTTCCTCCGAAACCTCTGCCGCCGAGCACTCCGAGGATCCGCCGGCCACAGCACCGAACGTGGCGGCCAAAACCCGGCTCGCGCCGTTCGACGCGAAGCACCGCCGGTTCCGTTCGCTCTCCCTCGCCAAATTCCTGACCTTGGCCGCCATCTGCCTGCACCGCGCGTGGTCGCCTCGCTGGCCCGCGGCCGCGACCTCCGACAGGATGTCCACCACCTGGGTCCTGGTCACCGGAATCTTAGGCGTGGGTATCCTCTCGATCCCGTGCCGCCGGTTCGCCACGCACCAGTCCTGTATCATCTTCCGTATCGCGTGGTTGGGGAGGAGCCCGTCGGCGTTCCTCAGCTCCTGTTTGGTCACCGGGCACGTCGCGTTCCCCATCTCCAACCAAGTCTCGATGCTCTGCCGGTCGTAGGTGATCCCGGTCGATGCCGTCACCGGGTCCTTCATCAGCTCCAGCGATATCGGGCATCGGAAGTGCGTCGGGACGGTGATCTCCTTATCGAGAACTCTCCTATCCAGCTTGGTCTTCAGGCCGGACTTGCGGTTTCTCCATGGAAAGGCCATGAACAGAGCTTGGTTTCTCGGTGGTGAAACGGGAAGTACAAGTATGCTCGAGAGAGGAAGCGGTCGTATTCTATATGAGATAAGATCGGAGGGAAGGGAAGGCAACGGGGGAAGTATATATATGAGTGGATCGCCTGCGATGGAATGGGGGAAGCGTTCAAAGCGCGGGGCATTGGCGATTTGAACGTTGACCGTTGAAGCTTTACCTAATCAATCGGGAGGTCTGACCCGGTTGACCACCGGCTCGAGGCTCGACCTATTAACTCGGTTCTAATTCAAATCGCTTAAAAAAACCAAAACCAAAAACAAAAACAAAAATCGAAATCGATGCGGTGTTTCTCTTCATGTGGGAAACGTTTTCTGACGCGCAAGCAAAACGTTAGCCGCTCTCCATACGTTTCCACATGCTTACTCTCTGTGTCTCCATGAACGCTTTTCTCATCTGCTATTCCGAGTCGTCGGAGTTGCTGGCTACGTCGAGCACGGCATCTCAGTCTTCTTCGCCCCTTTGCAGGTCTTAGAATAGCGGCAGAAAGCGTCGTCGGACCACAGGCAACAGTGACCTCAAACAGTCACATCAAATCTATTAATTACAGCTTCAAATTAAGAACAGAGAAGAACGAGCCAAATCGATTTGACTATAACTCTCGATCGGTCCGAGTCCAACCAAAACATTTGGGTCTACTAAAATGAATCGTGACGAGCGATACAGAGTCAACATGTTTACCAGATCAAATGGTGCTCGGTCATAGTCTTCTCGTTCGACCCAACAACAGTTAGGTCTCTTCGCGTTACAGAGACGAAGAGCAGTTTTAGGTGTTAGTACTTGGAAAAGCATGCTTACCTTCCACTTTAATACTGCAAAGTTAGCTCCCGATCGGGTTTCGATTTATTGATTCAGGTCAAAATTTATGGAGCAGAGGTTGACTGATGATTGATGATTACACATCTCGACATGCCGTGAGATTTCCATCCTTGTTTGGATACCTCAGGCAAATAACTATCACACCTTTGCTATGGTGATCGCCATGTTGCATGCAGAGTGTTTTTAGGTGACATATGGGATTATTAAGCTGTGCAAAATTCTTGATTTAAGTGCCTCGAGATCACAATCCAAAGATTCAGATGAAGTTTCAGTTGAGCTTAGAAAGGGCTTCTGCTGCAACAACTATTTTATCTGATGTAGTTTGACTGCTCCTCCTCTCTGAATCTATTCATATTATTATGCCAGAAGATATGGATCTGTAATGCATATAAACCCAATGAAATCCAAGATTAAAAAGGTATTTATTTGGTCTGTTTGAAGAGGTCAAAAATCTTTGGGTTGCGCACTTCCAATCCGAAGTGTGTATCCGCGAGTAAAGAGGAGGAGGAGGAGGAGGTGCACACACAGGCACCATGTCGGCCCCTTGAATCCGAGCGGCGACCGTGGCATGGAGGTCAGACGCAGCTCAAGACGCGCGATGGTGGATTTCTGACTTCATGGAGGCCGGTGTCGACGTAGATCGAGATGTCAGCAGACTGTGAGGTCGGTGTTTGAATGCTGCAGCTCATCGACAGAGACAACCCAGCTGTCGGAAGTTGGCACGTAGACTTGCTGTTCTTCCTCGTAAGTTTTCGACGTAGAAGACGAGACTTGGCAAACAGAGAAACAAATGGAAATGCGAAGAACAACAAGAAAGGAAAAGAAGGATGAAGGAGAAGTAAGCGCGTGGAGGAAGTCAATCTATCAGCACTTCACATGGGCGGTGGTGGGCGCAGTGTGAGTTCAATTTGGACTTCTCCATGCTTTTGTGTTTTTGGGTATTTGTGGCATGTTAGCACTGCTTCTAAATATGGATGTGATGGATTAGATTATGATCGTACGTAGATCACAATCGATCCGTAAACGAAGGATAATTATAAATTATTCTTTATAATTAGTTATTTTTAATATCCCGTGTTTCCTAAGATACCTCACAGATCAGTCGAGAGATTTGGGTAAACTGTCAAGAGAATAATAGTGTAAAATATTGATTATGAATCTGCACTGCTGCATTAATGATTAATGTCTCGTAAACAGACAGGTTGGAGTGATTAATGCTGGCCAACAGCTCGCATGTGATCCGATTCCTTCGTATCATCTCTCTGACATGTGGATTATTATTATTTCGGTCATGTTCGTCTTGTAAACGAGTCTTTGAATCCTGATTTGTTTAAGCTACTTATGGAGTATGATAAGAACTATATCTATCTTGGAAATGCTACCGAGAGCCGAGTGCGATAGATACAGAAGCAAACGAGTAAAGTGATGCAGCATAACACCTCATCTTGCTAAAAAGGCAAGTAATTTAAAGGGAACAACTAAGGGGAGCGAGTACAGACGTCACAGCTGACGAGGAGGAATGGCAGAGAGCCACAACACGAGAAGTAGCAAAAGCAAAGCCAAACACAAGTACACAAGAATGAACAGAGCTGAGAACACGCGGTTCTCATGACTGATTTATCTTCCATCGGCTGAGGTGAAGGAATCCGCAAAGCCAGGTGGCCTCGTCGGTATGCTGGTCTGGGTGTTGTCCAAGCTCGCAAGGAATGATGATGTGGCTCCGTCGAAATGGCTGCTGTCGTCGAATGCCTGCCATTTCTTCAGTGCTTGGGGGAGTGACATGTCGAGGTCGATCCCGTAGCTGTCTTCTGAGTCGGGATCGGAGGGCTTCCACAGCTCCGCGAGTGATGCCAGGACGGTGACCGCATGGCTCATATCCGGCCTCTGGTGAGGTTCTCTGCCACAGCAGTGGCCTGCAAGCTCTGCGACGGTGCTGATGCTCGTGATCGTCTCCTCGTCGAGGTCGATGGTTGGGTCTATGGCCTTTCGGAATGTGTCCTTGTTGAGTTGCATCCTGCGGAACCATGTAACCAGGTGCACACTTTCCTCCGGTTGGCTCTCGTCCAGTGCCTTCCGACCGGTGATCAGCTCCATCAGTATCACTCCGAAGCTATACACATCAGCTTTTGTGGTGACACGACCAGTCACTGCAAATATATACAGATCGATGAGCGCCTTCAACATCCCGCAGACCAATAACGATGAAAACATCAAGAAATAGAGCCTCTTTCTTTGATCATCTTGCTGAGTCATGTTGAACAAAGATTATATTTTTTTATTCTTTTCCGAACCAACAATTCAATTGTGCGATCCAAGATCTAAGCAATCCAGATTTAGAGAGACTAGACCTGTTGGCAGAACTGCTAATTCCAACTCGCATGAGATAGCAAATATAAGAAGCTATACTACAAAATCAGAATGAGAACTCGTTTATCATCAAAGAGTATAAAGTAATTCAAGAACTACAATAAAGTCAGGCCTTGCAGCCAGCAATAAGCTGGAAGATTACAATAAAGTCAAAAGTCATCTGATGTGTTCCAAGTCATTGTGGATCGGAGCTTACATCAGTATATTGCCACTATAAACTTTGGCACAGGGATCACATTATTGAACTGCAAGGCGACTTACTAAGATGCTATCATGCTACATTTCTTTACCATCCTATGATCTAGGGTTTCAATTTTAGCCACCGATATCTAATAGAACAATCTCCTGATCCCAAATGAAAACTTCTTTTCTTAACTATTTGCTGCAAAGTTAAGATAATTGGCAAGAGACCAATTTGCTATATATTAATTTATGACATTGATGCAGTTAGACTAATGTCTGCAACTAATACAGGAAGCTATAAGTCAGCGAACCGAGATTAGACTAAAAATTCAAAGGCCTATAAATCTTTAGCGTTAATAGTTAGCATTGACCAATGATGAGAAAGTTCAAATGCTGAACTACTTAATCAGGACTTGGAAGATTATATGGAGCAGATGGCATGTCGAATCACATAGCATAATGCAGTCGCATGATACAGCATGGGAGTAGAGTCATAAGTTTGAGAATTACCAGCATACTCTGGAGCTAGATAACCAAAGGTACCAGCTAGCCTTGTTTCAACAGAACAACCTTTCCCATCCGGTGCAAGTCGGACAAGGCCAAAATCTGCAACTTTAGCTTTCATGTCATCCCCAAGAAGGATGTTGGAAGGCTTAAGATCCCTGTGGATAAAGCTCTGATGTGCCAAATTGTGTAAATACTCCACACCCCTTGCCACATCCAGTGCGATGCTTAGCCTTTTTTTCCATTCCAAAGGCTTCAATCCTTCCTCCTTCCAGTCCAGAAGATGGCGACTCAGTGTCCCCTGAGGCATGTACTCATAGACCAACAGTCTCTCATTCCCGTCCAAACAGTAACCGAGAAGCGAGACCAAATTCCGGTGCCTGACCTTCGTGAGGACTGCAATCTCAGATTTGAATTCATTCAGACCCTTCGTCCCCATGACGCCTGCCTCCATCCTCTTGACTGCAATCTTGGTGCCATCATGGAGCTCACCCTTGTAGACCGTACCAAATCCACCACGCCCCAGAATGTTCTCTTCGCTGAAATTGTTGGTCACATTCCTAAGAACCTGAATAGAGATCACCATATTCCCTGCATCGACTACATGAACATCACTCGGGCCACTACTCGCCTGGCTGTAAGATTCACTGGCAGTTGCGCCACCGTTCATGCTTGAGCCAACGACGGTGATCTTCACCATGTCCTGGTCGGACCCCGAATGGCGTGGGTGTATGACTGTAGTGTTTGGACTCTGAACCCTCCCGGAATTCTGCAGCTTCTTCTTGTAATAGCAGAAACTCAACAGTCCAACAAGGCTGACACCGGCGACCACAGCGATCACAGAACCAGCAATCACACCTACAGAGCCAGAAGAAGCCTTCCCACTGCTGTTGCCGCTCACATCAACAGACCCTGCTGGATCTGAGTCGCTACCATTAGGAGCAGAACCGGAGTCCGAACCTGGCGGAGCAACATCCTTCCCCATATTCACATTCCCACCAGTCATCACCAATACATTCTTGCTGAAGCTTGGAATTTTCCCCCAGAGCATGTTGTTGGACACGTCCAATTCCTTCAGCGACGTCAGATTGGTGAGCGTGGATGGAATTGTCCCCGTGAGATTATTATTCGGCAGCAGCAGCCTCTGCAATGAGGTGAACGCACTGAAATCAGGTGAGATCGTACCATTGAGGCTCATCCTCGAGAAATTGATCACAGTGATGTTGCCATCGGCATCACAGCTGATGCCCAGCCACCCGCAGGGGTCGTTCCCCTTCCAATTCTCTGCGAATCGTTCCGGGTAGCCGAAGCTTTTGGCGATGGATAGCAAGAGTGTGACTCGGTCGTCGCACTCCCCTGCTGACTTCAGACAAAAGCTCTCGCTTCCAGGGACGAGGTCTAGAGTCACAGAATCCGGGAAGACGGGCACGGGCCCCTGCAGCAGGTTATTGGTGAGCGTAACTTTGGAAAGCGATTTCAGCTCGACCAAGGAGCGGGGAACGACGCCGGTGAGCTGATTATCCCGGAGCTCCAGATTGCGCAGGTTTGTGAGGGCGGAGAAGTCCGGAAGCGGCCCGGAGAAGCCGTTGGACTGGAGCCAGAGCTCCTCGAGGGCGGTCATGTTCTCGACGAAGGCGATCCCGCCGTTGAGGCGGCTCGGTCCCACCTGGTTGTTCAGCCAGAGCGAACGGAAGGAAGCCGCCGCAAAAGCTGAAGGGACGGGGCCAGAGAGGAGGTTGAAGGCAAGGCCGAGGTGGTCGAGCCCGGGAAAGGCGGTGGCGAGGAAGTCCGGGAGGGGGCCGGAGACATTGGCATTGTTGGCAGAGAAGTTGACGAGGGCGGCGGCGTCGCTGAGGCTGGCGGGAAGGGGCCACGCAGCGAGGGGGTTGTCGTCGAGGAACACGGCCTGGAGGGAGGAGAGGCCGGAGAAAAAGTCGGGGGGAATGGAGGAGAAGAGGTTGCCGTGGAAGAGGAGGACCTGCAGGGAGGCGAGGCCAGCGAGGGAAGGGAGCGGCCCGGCGAGGCGGTTGTTCTGGAGCTCAAGCCGGACGAGGGATGTGAGGTTGCGGACGTCGGCAGGGAGGGAGCCAGCAAGGCTGCGGTTGCCGACCTGGATGGCCGTGACGCGGCCGTCGGAGCAGGCGACGCCGGCCCAGGCGGTACAGGGGTCGGCGGAGGCGGACCAGTCGAGGGCCTTGTCAGCGCCAAGGGCGGTGGCGAGGACCTGCATTGACGCAAGGTCGCCAAGGTTTGTATCGGCCGCGCTCCTGGACGCGGCGCCGGCTAAAAGGAGCAGCAGCAGGATGTGAGCCGCCGTCGGGAGGAAAAGAGCTACGGGTCGATCGGCCATGGTTCGTCCGAGAAGGAAAGTTCTAGGGTTTCACAGAGGAGAGCAGCATAGAGAGAGAGAGAGAGAGGAGAGGAGAGAGAGAGAGAAGTAAGTGGATAGCACATGCATGGGGAAGGGGAGCGGGCCAGCTATGGCCACTGGAGTCTTGTGGGCTGCGATCTACGTGACGACTGCCATTGCTGGGGTTCGGCGCGTTGTTTCCTCCATTAAATGCGCCCGTCACGGCGCATTCATAATCATCTTCAGTGAACGGCCAAGATTCCACGATGGTCTTAAATCGCCCGTTCCGTAGAGATATGACGGAAAACGGTGCATAATATTATGTGATTGTAATCAGATAACGGAACCGTTACGCGCAAGCGATTGAGGAAAAGTCGAAAAGGCCGTCCGGCGACGACTGACCAGCGACTGACACGTGTCCGCATTGGATTCCTTCGAGTGGTAGAAGGACAACGAGATACTCCGTTGGGTCTTCGTGTTCGAACTAATTTGAATGCGGGGGATGACAGGTGGGTGGGTGGGTTGGTTGCGTGTCCCAATGGGTTTAGTAGCTGTTGCCAGATTGAAGTCGAGTGCCGGTCAGCTGTCTGGACCCCGTCAGGCTCAAGCGTCACCGACCGTCAAGACAATGACAGAGATGCGCTACGTGGATTTATTCTTCAAGCATGCCAAATGTCACCGAGTGATTGGCAGGTACATTTTCGCTTATCAACCCCATATACTCTGAGGTATAATAACTTTATTTGCCAAGATCGACTAAAATTTAATGCCTGGCTGCTGTCCTGGGGGCATCAGAGCCCACCCAAAAAGGTGTGACTGTTGTGTTCGCAGAGAAGGTACCCGACGAACAGTCGCCTTTCATACCCATGCGATGGTTGGAGAGACAGCACGGGCCCACAGAGGACCACACATGTCGAATGCGGATAGGTCGCGGCGACGACGGGAGAGGCGGGAGCTTCAACCCGAGCGAGTCGAGAGTTTGACCGATCTGCTGCAATCATGACGGATTCTTCATGTTCTATGATGCAGCTTGCGACCTTTCACCGAAATCTCTGTTCAAGTTGGAATCTTGGCCAATGTTCGATCGACCTTCGTGAGAACATACTCCACAACGGAAGCCACATACGTTGTTTGCATGCAGTCTCTCTTCTCATGCCAAACCGGGCTCCCAATTCCACCCACAGCAGCAAGCAAGAGATTCCCATCCCCGTTTAGCTATGACAAAGAGAGAGGGGACAACAAGCCCCTGTAAGAAGCAACGCAGTCGACGACGTCCACAGCTTCCCCGAACGCCATGGCCATCACATCACGGTAAAGCCGGCGTTCTTCGTCGCGGCTTCTCACGTCCCCAAAGTGGCCCACGTGTTCGCCTTCACGGTGTTCGTCTGGGTCCTCCACTTCCGCGGAGGCGCCGCCAGGCTGGGCTGCACAATCTCATCTTCAATGTACACGACTCCCCTTCCTCTTCCTGACATGCACGTTGACCTTTGCTTTCGTCTTCCTTGATAGGTGCATCCTCTTGTGATGTGTCTGGGGTTCAGTCTGGTCACTGGCGCAGGTATGTGTTCCGCATCACATTGGAGCAATGTCCATTGGTTTCTGTGGGACTCTAACACTTGGCTTCTGCCATGAACAGGTATCATGGCCTATAATACAGTTGCGAAAGGGAAGAATGTACAGAAGTTTGCGCACATGATGCTTCGACTAGTTGCAGTGGCTCTCGGAGTATTCGGAATCTAAGCTGCCTTCGAGTACCACAGAGCAAACACCGCACTCATGGTTGGGCATGTTCACCATCTGCTTGTTCGGCCTGCAGGTTCTTCTTCCTCCTTGCGTCAGAAGCTAATTCTCCCGTAAAAGGGCCATGAAAGCTCACCAAGAAGGCTACTTCGCTGACATGCATGCGTGCAGTGGCTGTTCGGGTTCGTGAACTTTTGGTTCCCGAAAGCGTCGCCGCCGACGAGAACCCTGCTGGTCTCGTTGCACGCTTCGGCTGGAATGGCGATCTTTCCGTTGACGGTGTGCAGGGCGGAGACGGGGCTTGCGCAGATGGACGCGGCGCCGGGGACGGAGGCTCATTTGGTCAACTTCGCCGGCCTCTTTATCCGTCTCTTTGCGGTGACTGTGAGCATCGCTGTAGCCCTTCGCGGGGTATCCATTTGAACCATGGCATGGTTTCCTTCCTTTCTTCTTCATCTTTGTCATCATCGATAATGCAGATTCATTGCTGTCAACCATTTCTCATGGCAAATAGAGAGGAACTATCACACTGACTTAGATTGCACACTCTGTGGCTGTGACAAGGAAATGGAACAGCAGATCACATCCTTGCATCTATGTGATCCTTTTCTTGTGGATCAACTTTCAGCTGCAGAGTCCAAAACTATGCACATCAGCCTTGGAGAATGGTTTTCATCATTTCAATGAGCGGAGTGAACCACACACAACAAAATCTGCCATTGAATGGGGTCAATAGAGCAACCAATTCAGAAAGGAATCATATGTGACATTGATAATGACACAAACTGGCCATTCCATGGCTTTTTATGATTGGCCAGCTCCACTTTTGTCCTCCAATCTGTAGAAGCCATATCGATGGAAAAGGAGAATGACAGGCATGGATAAAAAGAAAACTATGGTAATCGAACAATTAAATCCTTATATACCATATTAATGAAGCACACATTTATGTCACTGTCTCTTCCACATATGAAAGCAACTAAACGATATGGAGAATCTACTTTTATCCTGTCACTGCCTTGCCATATGATCAATACTGCCATTGTGGTGTGACCTTCACATCTCAGTTTCTTCCTTCAGGGATACTCTTGATTTTGAATGAAGGCATACACACTCATGGAACTGCTGCGAAAGCTATGGTTCCTGGATGGACAGTGGTCAATATGACAGGACTCTTAAAGAACTGCTTACTGTTTATCTACTTGCAGCTCTGAGCAAGAAACCCAGAGCTACTGTTGGCAATCATGCAGAGTGATGCAGAGCCACTGTTGCTTGGGCTACAATTCCCATCTCTTGATGTGCAAGTAACAGCATATATTTCCTTGCAAGTGATATGGAGATGAAAGATGCCAAGAGGAGTTGAGCACTCACCACAGCTTCTTCACCCAAAAGAAGAGGACATATAAGGTGACATATCCCTTCGCTATTTCTGCATCCACATGCCTTTTGGTCTGCCAGCCGAAACTCTGCTTTCCATAATTAGGCATTACCAGATGCCATCATATATGCCCACCTCACATCATTCTCATCTCCCCTCCTCTATCTTCCTCTCCTCGCACCGGAAGGAGAACTTGAGCCATGAAGCCATTCCCCCACAGAGAAGTGCTGAGGTTACATCTAGCTCCTTGTTGTTCGGTATGCCCACATTATCTACCACATATGCATGATAGTTTCTCCAAATTTTGATCTTGTTCTGCTAGAGTTTTGGGATTTTATGATGCCTTTTTAGATTTAATTTGTGCTTCTCGATTCCCTTCATAACCAGTAGCATCAGAACTGTTCAACAGAAGGACATGGAAGCATGTGATAGGCCTGTCGAAGTTCACCGACAGTTCTACTTGTGCATGCAGCTGAAGGAGAGCTAAATCCTTACTCGCCATCTCTATTAGGCCTAAACATGAACGGTTCCGACACAGAAGCATCGGTAGAAGTCTTTGAAGTCAGCAGTCAAGTGGCTTCTAACATGTGGACCCAAGAGTCTTCTTCTTCTTCCCCCAGCAAGGAGGACGCACCCATCTCCCTCGACCTCTCCCTCACCCTCAATGCAGAGTCCACAGCGCCGGCGGTCGTCTCGCTGTCGAGCACAAGCGAAAGCAGCAGCGAATCGCAAGCCTTTCCCCGGCCCGACTCCCGGAGAGTCTTCTCCTGCAACTACTGCCAACGCAAGTTCTTCAGCTCCCAAGCCCTGGGCGGCCATCAGAACGCTCACAAGCGGGAACGAACGCTTGCAAAGCGGGCACTTAGATTGGACGCAGCTCGACACAGTTATCCTAGCATTGCATCTTTGCCCCTCCATGGCTCTGCTCTCCATTCACTAGCGATTAAGGCGCATTCATCAGCGCATCAGAGCATGGTGGAGTGGAGGGGGAGCCAAGGCGGTATGCTCTTTGGGAGAGGCTTGCTTGAGCCAAGGCAAGTGGTTGTGGAAGATCAGGATGTGGATTTTCATTGGCCTGGAAGCTTTGGGCCAATGACAGATTCAAGGTTTGAGCGAATTGGGAGCTCAGATTTGGTAGCAGTGGATCACCAGCCAGTAGAGGATCCTGATCTTACTCTCAGGCTCTAAGTGTTCGACGCTGGCATTTTTGCGTGACGGTGTTGTAGAACGAACACATTGTTTTTCTTGATGTCATGCAGTGAGGAATGTGATGGTTTGTAAGCTTCTTGTTGCATTATCTTCTGCTTAGGAATGTGATGTATTGCTTCTACAAATCCAGTGAAGTTGCATGTTTCTTTAGATTTGTAGCTGAGATTAGAATCGATGGTTGGCTTATCCTATCACAGGAAGGACTGCGAACAGTTTCATTTCCGAGAACAAAGACGGAAGTCATCTTGTTTTCTTCAGCACTGGACTTAGAATTCTGCACTGTTAAACTAATATCAGATATTAGCAGACTTTATTGTTGTCTGACTGCAAATACCAAAGTTTCTGTCACCAAAAGATAGGAGACATAAATCTGAAACAAACCCAATTCAGCAACTCTCATTTAATTTGCAGGTGTTACTATTTGATCATTATTTTCTGTATATTCTTTTATTGTTCAATCATTTCTAGAGCCAATACCATAATTGTAAGAAACCTATAAACGCAATTGGACATGTCTGGACATCAATGTTTGCTTGATACAATTATCATAAAATTATAGGATAAGCCTACAAGCATTCTGCATAATTTTTCAGTGATTTGGTGGAGAATTTAAAGAACAAGGCATTAAAAAAAGGTTAAAAAGTTCTAAATTTTAGATCATAAGAAACAATCAAGTTTGACATGTCATAAAAAAGTCAGAGATTATTATTACAAGTCATCTTTTTGTCATTGTTGATCCAAAATAAAAAATTATAATTTTTAATTTTGAATCGACGTAAGATTAAATATGCTTATTAGTTATCAATTTGACTTTATATTGTGATTAAAAAAATAAATTTAGATCCCGATAAATACTATTTTTAAGATGAATGGTAAATTCTGAGTTGGAGCTCAAAGGTATTGACTGATAGCAGATAAAATTTCTCCAATTATATGAGAAAATCTTGTTATTATGTTGAGAAAAATTCTCCCTCCTAACCTATATAAATAGAGAGAATATATCAACGACGAATATAGATTCTATTTTTTAGTATTTATCTCCTACCTTCTGATTATGGTATCGAAGCAATTCTTAGCAATTCTACTGTGAAGGCTTTGCCGCTGGCTTCTTTTCGGCCTTCGATAGATCTGATGTCTTCATCGAAGCCTTCATTGTGAAGCATCGCAAGAACGCTAAAGCTAAGGTACGTTGGCGACAGTTCCGAAAGTGCTGCTGCGTCCTCCAAGTACTCCACCACTTGCCGCATGCTCGGCCTGCTTGCCGGCGGCGGATGCGAGCACAAGCAATCCAAGCCTCTATCAGGAGCAACGTATAAGCCCTCTTTTCCAACCGCAAGAACCTCCGGTGCCGGCAAAGAGGGAGGGAGAGCAACTCCGACGCCTTTGTCTTAGATTTCATAAGAGCCACATGGAGTAAAATTGCAGAGACTTCCTTGGCCTCAGCACTGGCATGTTGGACTACAGAAGGCAATAGAAATCTGACCACATCAATCACGTGAAGTCCTGGCACCTGGAGCTCACTGGCCAGCGTCTGAGCCACCGTCCTCGTCCGCAAGCGCCGCGCCACCTTTGGCATTCACTACTTCATGCTCGCTGTCATCGTCCTCAAGGCCTTCAACCTCCTTGCGAGGCTGAGGACAAGTCTTACATAGAGCGCACCTGCTCTGCTCATGGCTGGGATGTCCTCTTCTATATCTTCAGCTTTCTCAAGGGGATCTCCCTCCTATTGCTCCACCTTCAACGTGCGTGTGTGCTACTTTGCCACCGAGGGGATCTCCCTCTACACAGCTACTACCTCGAAATTGAGTAGGTGGACTTGCACTGACATTGGAACCCCACCCTCTTACTGCAAACCCTCTTCTTGCTGTCTAACAACAGCAATCGCTCCTCAACCCACTACTCGCTGTTCACGGCAATCCGTCGAGGATTCGCACTATCTCTACTTGATGACATCGAGAACCTTCTCTCCTCTGCCTCGGCGCACCTCCGACGACATTGATATGAAGCAACGAAGGTTGTTCTGTTGTCGTCGCTTTCTTCCCTATGGCTACTACGACATTTCTGCGCAGTCCTGTGCCAGCATTTCTGCGGAGTCCACTCATTGCAGCCCGTCGCAGCACTTGCTGCTGCCTAAGCGCACTCTGCCCAGTGATTTTTCCTCACACGCTGGACTTTATCTGCTTCGCTGATCTGCTCAGAGGTCTTTCGACTGTCATCGGGCAGTGGGTGCTCAATCTTCATCACTCGGAATCTTCTCAGAACTGCTTCGCTAATTTTTCAGTTCGCTGCAGTTTCCTCTCGCTGCCTCTGATCAGTGATTGGATCATCCAGCGATCAGATTCTTATTGGTTCATCGCTGCTAACGAAGCAAGTCACTAGTGGACAGTAGGACGCAAGCGCCCCCACCTTCTTCCTGCGGAGCTAGAGCCAAACCTTCTCCTCTGTCCCCCATCCTTGGCATAGTTGTGGACACCGCAGGAGCAGTACAAGTCCCCAGGCTTCCGACCGTTGTTTTTTGCCACTCTGCGCCGGTGCTTCTTTCCTCACCGCGGTACAACAGACCTGCGTTCCACGCCGTCCCCCTTCTCCCCTCGCTTCACTGCTGCTAGCCACCAACTTCCTACTGTTCCTTCGACAGTCTCCTCTCGTGGACTGGCCTCGAGTTTGCCAGTGATCTATTGTGACTACCATCCAGTGGAAGCGTGGTGGATTCTCAACCACCGGCTCCTGTGCCCTCAACCAACCTAGTGATCACCTATCTTCTGCTATGCACTGCAAGGATACCATCTCTTCCTCCTTCCTCCTATCGCAGCCGCATCTCAACCGACCGGCAATTGCTCAATCAAAACTCTCATCTCGAGCCCTCGAATCAGGATGTCTTCGTTATCTTTTCCTGACATTCCGGTTATTGTTTTATTTGTAGGGAATCATAATACTTCTTCGCATGCAGGACTTATCTCCATTAATACTGTCACGCTAATATATTTCAAGTTATCAAAAGATGATAACTACGCATCTTAGCAAGCTCAGGTTTCTAATCTCCTATTTGGATATGACTTACTAAGCTATGTCGATGGCTCTCTCAGTTGTCCACTAGCCATGATCAACATCCCTAGAGAACTCAGTTCAGTACCAAATATAGCTCACAAACTATGGTTACATCAATATCATCGCATCCTCCAAGTTATTCAAGCCTCAGTTGTTGGATCTATCGCCCCATTGATATCTTCATGTGCAACTACTATAGAAGCATGGTATAAAGCTACAAATAACCTTGGTAAATCGTTCGTGTACTCGTAAGCTCAGTCTTCTATCCAGTCTAATGAAAACAAAACAAGAGGGAAGTATTATTGTTGATTATCTACAAAATATCAAAGTTATCATCGATGACTTGATAACTCATTCCCTATGTGATGAAGAAGTCATCATTCATACCCTTAATGGTCTCGGAGATGAGTACAAGAAATTGGCAACCGTAATTCAGGCACACGACTCACCAATGTCATTTGAAGAACTATATGACAAGTTGACTAAGAGATGTATTTGAAACGTGAGGACAAATTTCTCGGACTGACCATCACAACTCAAGTCGGTCAAAAGTCTAAGAGAAAGAACAACCAGTACAATAAAAACGTCAACAAAAGTTTGGCGAATATGTCTCTTAACCCTATGGGTCCCAAGCAAACCCCTTATTATCCGCATCATCAAAGTGGAAACTTCAATAACCATTAGCCTTGGCGTCCTGCCCTCACAAGCCAAAAAAGAGTCATCTGCCAACTGTGTGATAAAATCAAATTCTACAAAAGTCTATCGGTCTCGACCCCGACTCCCTGCTCCGTCACAATAGCCTCAAGCGAATCTCATAACTACTCAAACTTTTAGCCAACCTAATTGGATTGCGGACTTTGGCACCTCTTATCACATCACCTTTGATCTTCAAAACTTGTGTATCCACAACAACTATGGCGGAAATGAAGATATCATCATCGATGATGGTAAAGGACTTGCTATTACTTATACTGGTTCCATAATGTTTAATTATGATACTACAACATTTACACTCGATGATGTTCTATGTGCCCCTCGTATTGAAGAAAACCTCATTTTCATTTTGTAATTTTGGAAACACAATAATACTTCAATTAAATTCTTTTCTGATTCTTTTCTTGTCAAGGACTTGAGTATGGGGGCATCCTTGGTCCAAGGCCCAAATAAAGGTAATATTTACGAATGGCCCTTAGCTCTACAAATAACCCAGCCTACTATTCACTCTTTAGTTGTAGCTTTAATTGACGTGTGACATCGTCATTTTGGTCATCCCTCGTCCATTTTTCAATAGAAATTACTTTCTTATTACTCTCTTCCCATTTGTAAATCAAGTAGCTATAACTCATTGTGATGCATGTCATAGCAATAAAAGTCATAGACAACCCTTCGGCACATCCTTCATATTATGCTATAAACTATTTGAAATTATTTATACTGGTGTTTGGGGCCTTGCTCCAATCATTTCTTTTGATAAATTCAGATTTTATATCATTTTTATATATTACTTCACTAAGTACACATGATTATCCTCTTCACTGTAAATCTGAAGTTTCCACAATCTTTACCAACTTTCGAAAATTGGTCGAGAACTACTTTCGGGCTTCAATCAAAACAGTTTACTTTGATGGTGGAGGTGAATATCAAGCCCTGACATCTTGTCTCTCAACTTATGGTATACAATACCTCAAGTCACCCCCACATACTCCTCAACTAGTTAGCTCTGCCAAATACAAACATTAGCATATAGTTAAAACTGGTCTCACATTTCTATATTAGGCCTCAATGCCTTCAACCTTTTGGACAACAGACTTTCAAACTATAGTCTATCTTATTAATTGAATACTTATGCTAGTCCTATAATATTAGTCCTTATTTGAAATATTATTTCAGAAACCTCTAAACATTTATAAACTCAAAATATTTGGCTATCTATGTTCTCTGTGGTTACATCCATATGCCTCCTATAAGATAACATCACGATCTAAGCCTTGCGTCTTCATAGGATACTTTCTTGAATATAATGCTTTTCGATGTTGTAACCCCTAAACCCAAAAAGTATTTATCTCATGTCATATTATTTTTGTGAAGTCTATCTTTCCTTTCCAAAACTATGAGTCTTTTGCTATGCAAACCACTCTCACAAACATTCTTTACTAGAGTATACCTCCAATCCTATCGGATGAGCTTCTCATGACACTGTCCGGTTTCTCCTCTCAGGATCCACACTTTATAGCTACTCTAGTTCAGCAATTTCCTATTCCCTCCATTACTATTCCACTTCCTTCTTCTCAAGTTTCCCCCATTAATGAGGTAATACATTCATAAATACAACCATTATCTTTATCTCTTTCTAGACCTAGTGACATTGAAGTACCTCAACCTGACCCAGCCTGTGTCAGTGACTCTCCACTACCTATATTAACAACACAACCTCACAATCATATAGCCTTCAAATATCCAATAACAATACGTTTCAAGAATGATATTTTCAAACCACGTCAAGTTCTTGACTTACATGATATCACAGAATCCTCATCTAATACCATTGAACCCACCACTTTCACTCAAGCTCAAAAATCTCCACACTAGCGTAAAGCCATGTGTGAAGAATATGATGCCCTCCTCCATAACTCAATATGGAACTTATTACTCTTTCATCATACATAAAATATCATCAGATGTAAGTAAATCTTTCGAATTAAGTGGAACTCAGATGGATCTGTTGTCAGTTATAAAGCATGTCTAGTCGCCAAAGAGTTTCATCAACAACCTAGTGTTGATTTCACTGAGACATTCAGTCTCATTGTTAAGCCCACAACAATCTGACTTATCTTGAGTTTGGCCACCACTAAAAGCTAGCAATTACGATAATTGGATGTTAATAATGTATTTTTATAGGAGACTCTAACTGAAGATGTCTTTATGCAATAACCTCATAGTTTTATCCATCTTCAATATCTAAGACATGTTTTCAAACTACAAAAAACTATTTATGGATTTCGTCAAACTCCAAGAGCTTGGTACACTGAACTTGGCTCATTTTTTACTTCAATTGGATAGCTCGTTATTTCTATAACAATAACATAGAGACACAATATATATTTTGGTGTATATGGATGACATTATTGTCATAGGCAATAATTTTATAGAGATCTAGCATTCATCAAGCAATTGGTATATCGATTCTCCCTTAGAGATCTAGGAACCTTGAACTATTTTCTAGGAGTAAAAACAACATATATATCTTCAGGTCTCTTCCTATCATAAAGAAAATACATTCAAGATTTATTATAAAAAACAAACATGCATGATGCAAATGCGGTTACATTTCCCCTCTCTACTAGTGAACCACTCAAATTATTTGATGGAAGTTATACTATGAAATTCACTCAATACCAACAAGTAGTTGGCTCTTTATAGTACTTAGCTCTCACCCATCTATATATCTCATTTGTGGTTAATAAACTATTATAATTTATGCAGCGATCATTTACTATGCACTGGTCTGCAATCAAACGAATTATGCGATATCTTAAAGGGATCCTCAATCATGGTCTCTTTCTTCGCAAACACTCTTCACTTCATCTTCATGTCTTTGTCGATACTGATTAGACAGAAAACTTTGATGATAGAATATTTATATCATGGTATATTATTTTTCTTGGAGCTAATCCAATCAATTGGAGTTCTAAGAAGCAAAAGACAATTATACGGTCTACAACTTTGAATACAGTGTCATCACTAACCACTACTGCAGAACTCAATTGGGTTACGAATTTGCTCAAGAAACTCAACATCAATTTCACTTTTATTTTTATAATATATTATGATAATGTTAGAGTTACCTATCTATGCGCCAATCCAGTGTTTCGCTCCCGCATGAAACATATTACTATCGACTTCCACTTCATGCGAGATCAAGGTGTCCGACATCAACTATATGTTTCTCATATACATACAATTGATCAATTAGTAGACTCACTTATGAAGCCTATCGCTCGTAAACTATTTTCATTGCATCGATCCAACATCGATATCCTTGATAGGAGTACTATCTTACGGGAGCATGATAGCAGATAAGATTTCTTCAACTATATAAGAAAATCTCGAAAAATCCTCCTCCCTAGTAATCTATATAAATAGAAAGAACGAACATAACTTCTATCATCTTTCTATCTCCAACCTTCTATAATTGACAAATAGTTGCGAGTCCACATTTCTTCCCAACTCACCGAGTCCAACCGAAACTCGGTTTACAACTGACCTGTCCACATCTGGTTCACGATGACCATCACGACCTGCTCCACTTCCCACGCGGTAATCCCAGCCGTCGATTGGAAAGTCAAACGGGTCCCCGTAACGGACGCGCCGCCCTGGCATTCTCGTAATTAGCGTGCCAGACCGACCAACGCGTCTTGCGCTACGCGGACACCATCTCCATGTCTGCGCCGGTTGAGGAGACCCTCTTTGCCACCTATCACAGCGAAGCGGCCCCCACATTGACCAATAACCACTGACGTCACGCGATTGCAGATTTCGAGGGAAATGGTGTTCCTTGTCTTGGGCAAGACAGATAGGACGGGGCTGCAGGCCGAGTGCGGTGTGTTACCCCTCTGGCTACATGATAATAGCCCATTGCTCGGTCCCGGTCGACGGTCCCGAGTCGCACGCGACCTCCATCGAACGCATAACTAAACTTATCTTGCGGATCACTTGACACGAATAATTAACAGGATAAAACAAAAGGGCAAGAAAACGGGTCCGCGTTGCAGTCCAAGACCGGAGTCGGCGACGTTGGCCACACCGAGGGAGAAGAAGGGCGGGCGAGCGAGCGAGAGCGAGAGCGAGAGAGCTCGTAGGCGGCCGCGGTGAAGGTGATCGCGAAACCCTCAAAACCCTATCTATTACGGTACTCCTTTCCGTAACCCTCGCCATTTCTCCTCCTCCGATCTTTCCTTCTTCGCCATGTTCGCCGAATCCGATCCCCTCAAGGACTCCACTCCGAATCCCCAGCCCACCCTTCCCAGCCGTAACCCTCTCGATCTTGAGGCCTCGCCGGCGAAGCCCCACCTTTTCCGGGACGCCGCCGCCGAGTCGCCACCCACGAAGCCCGGCGCATCCTCCGCCCCCCAGGAGCTCACCCTCAGCTACCTTTGCGACAACAATAAGCTCGGAGCCTCCGCCGCCCAGGAAAAGGAGGGCCGTAGCGCCGATCTTTTTGTTTCCCTTGAGAAATCCCGGTTGAAGGGCAAGGAGATCGCGCCGGATCCCTCGGAAGATGAAGATCGTCGGTGCGTCGAGCGGGACTTCCTCCAATTGACCGGTGGCAAGCTGTCCGCGAAGAGGGAGGCGCCCGAGGGGTTCGGCGAGGGCGATGGCCGCGAGAAGAAGGTCAAGATCGAGACTCTGAACCTCTCCCTTGCCCCGCCCAACCTTTCCTTGTCGCTCAACTCTGCTATCCCGGCAACGAATGGGGCCGCTGCGGCTGCCACACCAGGAGTTCCTGTTTCGGTGGTTCCTCCGAAGACGACTTACAGTAACAGCATGCGAGCTGCAAATTCGGAGGATTATGCCCCCTCGCTCTCGTACTCGTGCTCCGTCCCATTCTCGCACAACCCCAGCTGCTCCCTGACGCGAAACTCCACCGAGAATTACGAGTTCTCAAGGGGGGAAAACGATAAGATTTGGTACGCTGGAGAGGGGACAAATGGGTCAGTTCATAGTAAGTTTAAGCCTGTGGGTGATGGCAATACCATCGCTTTTGTGAATCACAACAAAGAAGTCAACAACAGTCTGTACAGGGCCAATAGCTCTGACAATGTCTCGTTCTTCCCATCTGAATTGCCTGCAAGGCCTGTGAAAGGTAATGGTGTTGCGAGTTCAGATAGCGGGAGAAATGGCATGCTTACCAGGCCAGATAGGGTGTTGAGAGAAATAGTGTCCGAGTCGGTGCCTGTTATGGCACAATTGCTCCATGACTTTCCCAATGAATCGTTGGAAGCACTGAGAGAGTGTCTTAGGAATCTTATGGAAGTACCAGAGATGACGGATGAGTTTGCTAGCCTGCAGAGGAAACTAGAGAGGAGATCGGATCTTACGTTAGAGATCCTCTCGAAAGCACACAGGACACAGCTTGAAATTTTGGTTGCTATCAAAACTGGTATTGTATCCTATGTCTCGGGAAAGAGCCGGATCCCTACTAACGAGTTGGCTGAGATTTTCTTGCTCATGCGGTGCAGGAACGTGAATTGCAAGAGCGTACTGCCTGTTGATGACTGTGAATGTAAGATATGTTCCAACAATAAGGGGTTCTGTAACAGCTGCACGTGTCCTGTGTGTTTGAAGTTTGATTGTGCTTTGAATACATGCAGTTGGGTTGGTTGTGATGTTTGTTCTCATTGGTGCCATGCTGTTTGTGGCATTGAGAAGAATCTAATTAGACCTGGCCCAAGCTCGAAAGGACCTATAGGCATGACCGAGATGCAATTCCAGTGCCTGGGCTGTGGGCATGCTTCTGAGATGTTTGGATTTGTTAAAGAAGTATTTAATGAGTGTGCCAAGAATTGGGGTCCTGAGACATTGATGAAAGAGCTGGACTGTGTTACGAAAATCTTCCGTGCCAGTGAAGATTTTGAAGGAAAGGGGCTTCATGCAAAAGCTGAGGAGGTCCTCAACATGCTCATTAAAAAAGTAATCTCCCCCAAGGACGCATGTGCTAGCATGCTGCAGTTCTTCAAATGTGAGTTTCTTGACAGTCTTTGCTTTGCTTTTAATGTTAGTGCTTTTCTTGTCTTGTGGTTTCTTCAGTTTACTGTCTTATCTTGCTGCTGCTGTTGAATACCATCTATTATACTTGATTGTGAAGTTTGTGGCTTTCATGATGTTTGAAGTTAGTCCATAATCACATAACCTTCTTTTTAGAACTTTTTAGTTCATGGGTTCGCCAAGAAGGGTTCTCATTCCAAAAGTAAATTTGGCTTAAAATTTGTTGTTTGTCTCTGTAATTTGATTTCTTTGTAACTTATTTATAGGCAATCACTGCTTGTACGTGCTTTGAACCATGCTTCCACTCCCTCGATGAGTGGGCCTTACCCAATTTATATGTTGGGTGGACCGGTACTATGTGACATAGGGGTTCTCTTTGTGAGTGATCCAGAGTGCTTGTGGTGGGTTCTACATGTATGTGCTAGTATGTGTTGCATTTCTCTTTTCATATTTGGGTATTACCAAATCTTGCAAATAGTTCTTATGTGTGATGCAATAGATCGCTTTGTTGAGGTAGAAAAATAACTAAAATATTTTAGACATTTTTCTACCAATGTGTTGCTTAAAGATGAGCTTCTGGATATCAGTATTTTCAAGCTGCTTGTTGCTTTAAGGTATATTTTACCATTTAGTTGTTATCATCTTATTATTTCAAGCTTGCATCTATTCTTTCCTCTTTATCCTCAGTTCCTATGGTCTAACTTTTTGGATGACTGAAACTGCCGACTTGTATCTTGATCCTCCATGAGCTTTTCATTTTCTCTGTCATCTTTCACTCTTGTTCCTGTTCATGAGACACTCTCTCCTAAAGGCAGTAGTGGCTTGTTTGCTTTGATTATTTTATTTGCTGGGGACATCTAACTAAATGCACAAGTAGTTATAGCCCATACTTCTGTGCCCAGGTTGCTTGTAGAAGTTCAAAATCTTTCTTCACCCATTTGTGGATGGGCTTTATTATCACTAATTAATTTTCATTTCATCATGATTTAAATGCTTGATGAAGACTTTTTTTTTTATCTCCGAGTGAAATTGTGTTCTCAGCATATAGCTGGTTCTCAGAGTTCTCTCAAAGTTTTAGTATGTTTCAACAGAGATTGGACTAGTGCAACAATCGAAATATGGTTATGGTGCTCAATTTAGTAATATGCGTTTGCATTTTTAATCCAGTACAACATCAGGGAATTTCTGTTTTCTCTGTAGCTATACTACCATAAGTGGGATATTGATTTGGATGCTGATGGCGATGTGTATGTTAAGATAAAACAGCAGAGATCAAGTGCTGAAATGGGCATAAGTAAAAGGTCAAGTAGAACAGTTTATACGCGAATACTAACCCTAGTTCACTTATGTTGTCCTTATCGTTTTTATATATCATGGACACTTATCAGAAGAGTACACAGTGTATCACTTTCTATTTTGACCAGTAGCTATATTACAAGAGATGCTTTGGTCATGCTTCATTGCTGTTGGAGTTTTTTCATTTATCACCTTGGCAACTTGTCACAGAGGTCAGAAAATTTGATCACTAAGGTAGCTGTAATTATCCTTTTATGTGGTTATTATAGTACATAATTGTTGGATCTTATAATTATAAAAACAGACCTCAATATTCTTGAAAGAGTGATGCACGGGCAATGAGAAAAGTGATGGTGGATATTCCTTCTTGTGAAATATGAGAATAATAATATAAGTATTGCATAGAAAGCAGGAATGATCCACAAGTTCAGCAATGCAGGTTTATCATGAGATGTCCAATTTGAGGCTGATTGCTGATACATGAAAGTTCTTCATATATGTTTGTTTAGCAAAGAGAAGGTGTACATGTCCAGACTGATTCCTAATTGGTCAACAAAGTCCAATATATGTTGTTTGTTGTATCTTTCGACCGCAAACATGATGTGAAAAAAAAAAGTAATATAGTCTAGAAGAATGCTTATGAGATATTCATTGAAGGTGAGCGATGGACAGATCATAATCTCAAGAATCAGACAGTAATAGGCATATAGTTTCTAAATAATATGTTGGACATGAATCTTCTGCTGGAAGAGCCTTTATGGAATTAGTTATAATACATGAATCTTCTGTCGCCCGGTTGAGTCAGACTCTGCATTAGAAGTTCTTATTTTGTGGCAGATAGCAAGTCTTACTTTGTAAAATGTATAAGACAAGGTCAGAACATAATAGTATTTTGTCTCTTCTATGACTAAATTTTTGCATTGCCAATTGCAACCATGAAGCAATTGTTGAGACGAATAAGACCATCATTTTTGGTCACCCTATAGATTCAGAAAGTTCCTGAACTTTCTGATCTGGCATAGCAAAAGAATAACCTGCTTTATGATCATTGGATTTGTTGCCGTTCAAAACATGTCCAATCTTTTTTTTTCTGGTCAGCGCATTTCATCTGTTCTCCCATCACCAACAAGCTCAGAACTGATCTATGAGGTAGCTGTAGTTATGGTTTTTTATCGTGGTTACTGTAGCAATCATTATAACTCCCTTGAATATTTTTCTTGTCTGACCATGCAATATTATTCTCTGTACTTTTGTATACTTCATCAGATGATTTAACTACAGTTCTCAGTTCCTAACTAGGACTAGTGGTATAAGGAAATATAGAGGGAGACCTGAGTTACTTTAATAAGACTGCTCTTAGATTGACTAGGGCTGGAAAATCGCATGTGACTACCCAAATAGCTGGGAAAATAAGGCATGTTGTTGTTGTTTTTGATGATTTAAAAGTACTTTCTAGTATTGATTTTAGTGAGAATTTAGATGCTGTTACAAGCTTTTAACTGTACGCCATCCAGATACGCGGATGGAACCATGAGTGACCTGCATGCTATACCCTTCTTTTTATAACCCTCCTGAGGGATCCCATGAAAGTTGGGAATGAAGCATTTAACATGCACGGTTCAAGTCTTCAAATGGTCCTCCTTTCCTAGAAGACAAATCCTAATGTTACTCCAAACATCTGTGAACTGATTGATCATAGTAAATGGGAGAACTTCATCCTGGCATTGGTTATTCAGCTGCAAGTTCAACTCAACTAGTCAACCTCAATATCACTGCAAGGGTTGCGACTGCATACATATTCATGTGGACTATGTCTGATTTATTTGCTGAGAAGGTATGTTTTAGGTGGCCTTTTTTGCATTTTGCATTTTGAATGCAAAATTTTGGAGTCTGGACAAAAGATCAATGTCGATAGACACGACTAAAATGATCTCTTGAATAGAACTAACTTCTCTACATGAAATTTATATTCAATGGGCCAGCAAGTTGACCATCTGAATGTTGATGGCTGCAAAAAATATTTGAGATGATAAATGATATTCTCGTCTGTTTAACTTGGTAACTTTTAATTAAATATTCATTGCTTTCTTATGGTCATCAAATCTTTTATATAAAATATAGTTAGTTATTGCTCGACTTTGTTGGTAATATCTTTTTGAACACTTATCAGAGCATGACTCTATCAATGCCATTTAACTTGTCCAAATAGAAATCTGTGTTGTTGTCTGATATACACGAAGTGGTCATACTTTCTAGGATATTATCATTTATTGATCATTTCTTGTACTACTACTTGTATAATTCTGTCTCATCTTTGGTTACTGTTGAAGCCAATGTCGCCCTGTTGCTGAAGAGTCTGTTTTGCAATAACATTATTAAATCTATGCTGTATAGTCTAATGGCAGGGATTCTCTTTTTGTGAACATTATTACCAATTTTGTGTTAATTTTAGCAAAAGCTGCCATACCAACATAAGAATTATACATGCACTGATGCACATGGGAAAATCTGCATGGCATAGAGAGAAACATATCCACTACTTTGTGTTTATGTAGTCTGAAGTACATTGTTGTGCTACATGTAAAAATGATCTGTGCCTCCTGGAATTGTCGAGTGTTTGCGTTCAAGTATCTAGTGCTAGCTGTTGACTATGTTCAATTTTTCAGACGGAGTCACAGAGTTCTCCGTTACTGGAAGCTCCTCCAAAAACATACTTGCTCTATCAACCCAGCATGTAGATACACCTCTTCCATCCGCGGCAGCCATCAATGTGGCAAAATCTACCATCAACTTCAGCCCCGCCACTGCCATGCTAGACAAACAGATGGATGCACTAAAAGCAGATGCCAAACCTTTTGCGTTCGAACCCCATTTCAGTTCGTCAAAGGATGACGGATATAAGAGTTTGGAGACCATCGTGAAATGCAAAGAGGCAGAGGCGAAGCTCTTCCAGAAACTGGCAGATGATGCCAGGAGAGAAGTCGAGGGTTACCGCCAGATAGTCCGTGCCAAGTCTGAGAAGTTGGAGGAAGAGTACGCCACCAAGATTGCAAAACTGTGCCTGCAGGAGACCGAAGAGAGGCGTAGGAAGAAGCTGGAGGAACTGAAGTTTCTAGAGAACTCTCATTGCGATTATCAAAACATGAAGATGAGGATGCAAGCTGAGATTGCAAATTTGCTGGAACGGATGGAAGCAACAAAGAAGATGTGGGTGTAGCTTGTGCTCTTGTCATCTGAGGGAGATGCCTAGTTTGTATATTTTGATCTTGGATGCTTTAAGCTTACAAAACAAGATCTCATCTGCAACAAATATACGGTATATTAAGTTCTTACTTGTTTTGGTGTATGCTTAAGTAGGCTTTGGAGATCCCCGTCACGGTTCAACTGCTTGATGTTTGCTCCCAGAACTTGTTTCATTGTTTGAATCTGTAATTTATGTACTTGTTCATTGTGCACTTTCATTGTGGTCATTCTGTGTTCAATTGTTCTGACAGTGAACTGAATCCAATGAACAGCTAAAACCAAATGTAACTTTTTTGAAGAAAGAAGTCCTCAATTTGAAAACCATGTATATACATATTGTGAGAGATGATGAAAACTAATGCTTAAAATAATGATCCAGAACAAAACACAGACCTAACAAGATTGACGTGATTGCGACACCTTTGTATGAGGTCCGCAGGAGCAAAAAGAAAAAAAAGAAATCAAAATTTCACTAAGTGAGAACAATAAAATAAAAGGAATAGAATTGTCTATTGACTTAGTGAAGACTCAAACTTCAGAGTTCATTGTGCATTCTCTTTCTCTAGTCAGTACGTACCCATTCGAACACATTTAAGAATTAAATATTATTAATTTTAGGGGATATTTTGGAACCACAGGCAGCACTGTTTCTCTTGCTATGCACTAAGTAATAAAAGAAATGAAGAAGTGTCATTTTCCTCTTAACCTTTTCCAGTGACTTACGTCCAACCATGTGGAATGGAAGGATGAGCTTGCTTACCAATAGCAGCTGGTGCAGGAGCCAGGCACGAAGGTTGTCCTCTCACAAGGTGGCTCGGTGACCGTGGATGCTCCTGCCTGCCGATCAAAATTGCAAGATGTGAGAGAGAGAGAGAGAGAGAGAGAGAGAGAGAGAGTGCACGTGAATCAACAGTGTCTCCACTGATGCTTAGCGAAGGTACAATGCACAGCGCTGAGGGGGGCTGAGGATCGAGCGTTACTGTATGCTGACAACGAGTACACATCACAGTATAACTTGTGTCTACTGCAGAGGACAAGGTGGTCTCAGAAAAACAAGTCTTGGCTTCCCCACGTCACTGTCATTAATCAAAGAAGGGAAAGCATCATTTCTACATATACTATTTTGTGCTCCACGTCTTGTATGCACGCTTGAACTCATATCTGTTTCATGATTCATAAGAAGCATCAGATCTTTTTCTCATACATATATACATCACGTCCTCGACTGATATTGTTCTCTTGTTCTTTTCAAATTGACATCGATCCATGCACGGATATGCGAACAAATATTACTATCCAGTAAAAATAACTTGGAATTTACTATCTCCAAGTCATTCATTTTTCTCCTTCTATTCTATCATTTCCAATCTGACATATAAATATTATCCTTCTTCTATCATCACTGAATTGAGTTAGGCCTTTGTCCAATGTGCGGTTGACAAGGCATGTGCGCTGAGTCCCACATTCTACCTTGGTGGTGTTCCCCTTCACTTTCCTATTTGTACACATCTCCATGGCCCAGTAGCCCCTGTTGAACCCAAACCACAGCACCCCCCATGGTTCCCTGATCCCCATGGATAACAACTCCACCATTCAAGGCTCTGCTCTCTTTTCCTCATCCTCTCAGTCTCCATCCCATTGCAGGCACGTCTTTATGGCAGCTGTCTCAAAAGCAGCCAACCTTTTGCGTGCAGGCCAACAATGCTTCTCTCTCTCTCTCTCATGGAGCGCACAGAGCCGTAGATAAGCACAGAGAATGACCTCCAATCCTCGTGCCTTTGCTACCTCTTTATTAAACCCACCATGCCCGCAGCATCAGGACAAAGACATCAATGGAGAGGCTTTGGAGGTTGGTGTCACAGGTCGGGCTGGGAGTTGGAAGCCATGGTGGCCACCACGAAGGTCTTGATGGTCCCTAGGAATGGTAGACTAAGAGCAGGTTCTCATTGAAGTGTGTTTATATCCTAAGCTTAAATTTTTATCATAAAAAAAGATCAGCCCAATGCAACACAAGCATGCGAAGCAAGTCCGAAATCAATGGGAGAGTCAAACTTACACGGAAGTGCATGCAATGTTCATCTGAGCCATTACTTCTTCTTCCTTGTGTCCATCACTTTCTCTTTGCCAGACATCTCTCGTTGTTTGTTGAAGTCCACATGAGATCAGATCAAGATGAGGCTGTGCATCATCTACAAGCACAAGAGCAAGCAGTCAGACGCAGAGTGGAGCAGCTAAGAGTAGGCTTACGCCAGGAGTTTCGAGTGTATATATGACTTCTTGGAGAACCGATGTATATGTTCTCAGTGAAAAACGTTTTATGCTGAGACGCTAATTATAATGGTTCATGGAACAAAATATACATCTGAATTGAGAAATGTGATTTGAAGCCAAGGGTGAGAACAGAAAACTAATTAAGCATCTGATGGCATAATTAGAGCATTGGACTGTAAAGAAAATGGTTGGACATAAACACTTGACAAAGTATTCATGGGTAGAGAATACTCACAGTGGGAGAGCAAATTAGTCTGATCCTTTGTAGGAAATTCTATAATTCTTTCCCCTGCATATTTTGGCGAAAAATACATGATCAAATCCACCTTGGTATCCAGTAGGTAATTCACAATGTCATATTGTACAAAAAACTGCATGTTGACCATTTGTAACTCCAACTCATATATGTATTTGATCGGAAGCTTCACATTGATCAATTAATCAAACACAACAAACTGAAATATTACCCACTTGATAAATCAATTAGTTCATTACAAAAATCCATCGAATCTAATAAAAAGTAGATTAAACCGATCACTTGTCTCCCAATATGTTTTGAGTTTCAGTTTACAAAATAGATAGTCATGCTCTAAGACAAAGCAAATCATCGTTGGTACATCATAATGGATTTCCATATGATACAGAAGAAACTATCGGGCGGCCACCTTAAGTATCTTGCAACACATCCCTCGTCAAATTTGGTACTTCTTTTAACTACAATTTCTTAGCTAACAGAGACTCCATTCTATGCTTCAATAGTGATGTGAAACACACATGGAAGTGCCAACGAGAGCAAGACTTTTGATCATCCAAGTCTTCAATGAAATAACCCTATCTCTCTCTCTCTCTGCTCCCAATATAATGGCAGCATCGGTCCTCAGCTCGCTCCAACTCCTACACCTTAACCTTCCTCCTGCCCCAAGGTACATGAGAGAGGGGGAGATAGAGATAGAAAGAGAGTTATTGCCTCTATAATAAGATAAACCACTGAGACAGAGAGACAGCCAGAGAAAGAGAGCAAAGCCAGCTTAAGGTGAAAAGGAGAAGAGCAGAGCAGAGACAACAATCTTACAGAAGAGATGGCTTCTTCTTCTTCTTCTTCTTCTTCTTCTTCTGCTTTATTCTTCTACTACCTCCTCCTGTTGGGTTCAGCACTGTTCCTCACCAATGAGGCTATTGCTCTCCCAGAAGTGCCCAACCTCACCACCCTCTCTTTTGAGGAAGGCTACACACAGCTATTTGGAGACTCCAACCTCATTCTTCATCTAGATGGCCGGACCGTCCACCTCTCCCTCGACCAGCGGACTGGTGTTTGCTACTTACTTTCCCCTTCTCTCACTGTCTCTGTTCCTGCTTCATTGGCTCCATTTTCATCTACTCTACAAAGATATGCATGGATGTCCTTGTTAAACTGCCCATGGTTGTTTCCTTAGGTGCTGGATTTGCGTCACAAGGTCTTTATCTCCATGGATTCTTCAGTGCCTCCATCAAACTGCCTGCAGACTACGCTGCTGGAGTCGTTGTTGCCTTCTATGTATGCTGCTCTTTCCATAATAAGCTCATAATTCTTCCACTGTTTAGTGGTATTATTTCTCTTAACAGCACTTCCGGTTAAGTAAGCTTCTCTCAAGTTTGCATTTTCAGCAAGTTTATCTAAAAAGATCTGTTCTTGCAATTGCAGAACATCACAAGCTTTTTTTGATGTCAATGTAGATGTCTAATGGAGATGTATTCGAGAAGACACATGATGAATTGGACTTCGAGTTCCTGGGGAACATAAGAGGCAGGGAATGGAGGGTTCAAACCAACGTTTATGGGAATGGGAGCACAGCAGTTGGTAGGGAAGAGAGATATGGGCTCTGGTTCGATCCTACAGAGGATTATCACCAATACTCCATCCTGTGGAGTAATGAGAGGATCATGTAAGGTTAAATGTGTATATATAACTCTACATATAGATAACTATTAGCTTCTCAGGATTTCTCTCTTAAATTTAATGTTAATGGCAGTCTACGTTCCTCATTATGACTTGTTATTGGAGTTATCTTCTTTTCTATTCTTTTTTTTCCCATTATGATTCGTCTTTCCAACTTTAAGCTATGTGCAGAGAAATTTACAAAACAATTCAGTCTGCAATTTACTTTTTTCTCTCTCTCTAAATTTAAGTGCTTTTCTTCTTTTTTTTTTCTTTGTCTTGTTTAGGATATTTTATGTCTAACAATTTTTAGTACTTGAACAGTTTATTAGTTAGCTTTACATGGTACAAGCAATATTATGGATGCTACTTGCTAAAAACTGCTTTACCTTTACTTTCTTATGCACAGAAGATAAATTACTAGAGAACAGTAATGACATCAATACCTAAATTCATGACTGCGAAATGGAAATCACATGCGTTCCATACTTTTATTTATTTTGATGCATGCTCCTACTGTTCATATAATAACAACTGGATACATATTTAATTAACTACATATGTTTCCAGACTGTAACACGACATTATCAAATATTCATTTTCTACAACAAATTTTACATTGAAAACATCCTCATAGCATTTGGTATGATGAAGGAAATTTACAGAGCTATGTATAAGTAGATGTCTGTTGAATCATTTGGTGCTTTTCATCAGAGTTTGTAATTTTCTTGGCTAAAATCTTTAGTCCTCAACACATTCCAGTGCAGAGAAAACAAACACCAAAGGAAAAAAGAGGACGTGTAAATCCATTCTAATACATTTGAATGAAACCTACATGGAACCTATTGTTAGTAGACCTGCAGACGCATTGCCTACAAAAACTTCAAAATTATAAGTCCATAATTTTATCAAGTTCTTTCTGTTCCTTGGGCAGATTTTACATTGACAACACCCCCATCAGGGAGGTGGTGAGGACCCAAACCATGGGTGGTGACTTCCCTTCAAAGCCCATGTCACTCTATGCCACAATATGGGACGGCTCCACCTGGGCCACTTCGGGCGGCCGCTACAAGGTCAACTACAAATTCGCCCCTTACGTCGCCGAGTTCACTGACCTTGTCCTCCATGGCTGCGTCGTTGATCCCAGTAACCATAACAGAACCTGCCTGGAATCTAATGCTGGAGTTTACAATGCTATGATGATATCAACGGATCAACGGGCGGCGATGGAGAGGTTCCGAAAGAAACACATGACCTACTCTTACTGTCATGATCGCATCCGTTACCTGACACCTTCTCCGGAGTGTTCTCTCGGTCCCGAGACCAAGAGTTTCCTCATAACAGGCGAAGCAAGGTCCAGTTACCACCACCACCATGGTAAGCGCAATGGCCGCAGCACAGTAGATGTAGCCCTTTGAGTCTAAGTAGTTATTTTTTTTGTGTCCCATGTATTCCAAGTATTCTAGTGATATAGCAAATTTATTTCAGGTAGAGAGTCACATTGTCTAGAATGACATATGTATAACCTAGTCTGTCCAATCTTGTTTTGGAGTCTGTCTAGCTCATCAGTGTTTTCCATATTATTTCCTTCCCTCTAATGTTTCTTTTTCTCTGTAGTGGTGCTAATGTACTACACAATGGGTTTGTTGTCATAGAAGACTTGAGTTCGTTTTGATCATCTATAAATGGCACTATAACTATTGAGAAAATGGAATGGCAATATTAGCATACCTTTAAGCGAATAAGATGTCTGTCCTCCATGTCATGTTTCCATCTGGAAACTGTGGAGATCTTGAATGTCTTCGGGTGCAGGCATATAAGACCTATGATTGGTTGGAACTTGGACCAGCACGAGAGGACAAAGATGATGAGTGTGAATCTATATTGCCGTCTCCCGCGTCATTGAGTAAGAAAACAACTGTAGGCTGAGACGGGGAATACAGACAGCTCTGCTGGATTCAAAGTGGGATGACCTCAAAGAAACGAGTGCTGCCGCTGGAAGAGCATAGAGTAGGCAGCAACGCAAACAAGTGCTAGTCAAATGATCTACTAAGGACAGAGAACTAATAGTCTTTCCGCATCTTCCCCGACAACAATAATTTTGATGAGAAAAGAATACCACATATCATCCAGTAAGCTGTGATGGTGATCTTCTGAAACCATGTAGCAGCTAATGATCTGAGGCTATCAGGATTCATCATAACAAGGCGTAAATAAACTATCAATCTTATGCTCACATGCAGGGGCCATACAGAAAGGAAGACATTCTAGTAACTCCATCTCAACCTTCTGCATCATTAATCTGGTAGTTATTTAGGGAAATTACAAAAGCAAAATTTTAGTACCAAATCAAGAAATTGAAATCAAATCCACTAAATTACAGAGGCTTCTGCATGTTTTACTCAGGAATATTAAGAAAGTAGAAAACGCTAAAGAATATTAACAAACATACTAAGATATTTAGGTTGCATGTGCCCTCCAATAATAAGCAAATTATTCTTGAAAGTACATCTTGTTAAAAAAGGTATGTTTGGAAAGTACAACACTGCAATAGCGTGCACATTTGAGGTTTCACTATGTGTTGGAACAGACAAGTGTGATATTGTGAGAAGAAAGGGACACCATATTTGAGTTCCACATAATAAATCCTCCAAAATAGTGCAAGCAGTCAGTGTCAAAGATGCAAATGAATTAAACTGGCATGAACTCAAAGCAAGCATCTCTCAAGAGAACTTAATTCGGACTCACATTTTAGCCCTTAGGCTAGACCGAGATCAGTAAATTTGAACTCCAGGATTGAGCCAAGTGTTACATATATTAAAACACAGTGATATTTTAAAAAGGTATTAAGGTGATCCAGTGAGTTGACACACACAACCAATAGTTCTCTATTTTAAACTTTATTTTCTTCTCCGTTACTGAGAATCTGAGTTTTTCATGCATATGTGAATGAGGGAATCTTGAGTAGATGACTCAATGAGTTTTTCATGCAATCCTTTCTAATCTACAACTTATATTATTGGCGCAACATGTACCTAGAAAATGATAGATTAAAAAAAAGGAAAAATAAAGGTGCTAATTAAATGCATCTCATGGTAATGAAAATTGTTAGATGATCTTGTTGTGCTGATTTTTATATGCATCACAGGTAGATATAAATTCTTTGTTTCTACAATAGGATCACTTACTCAAGATTTGGCATGATACCATGTGATTAAAAAGTCATACTTGTTCCATTGGGCACCCTGACCCTATTACAGAAGAACCAAATTTGAACTTAAGAACTTTAAGACAATACACAAATCAATTTGACCAGAAGGCAACCCAGCTAGACCCAACACACACAAACTGTTACAGACTTGAATTTGGACAAAACCACTTACATGTTATAAAATAGATAGGCAGGATAAGCTGAGTACAGGGCAAGATTTAGTAAAATGATAATTTTGCTCTTTTCTAACATGGGTAGCTAGAGTGAAAGCCTCTAACAACGTTATCGTCTTAATACAACGATAACATTACTCATTGCTATCTGTAGGCGTTCATCAAATTCTCAAATTCTAAAACCATGTTATAAAGTAGAATCCAAAGCAATTTTTGCGTTTCTTCGATACACTGAACCTAAGAAGAATCCTTCAGACAGTATACAAGCATATCGGATTAATAAACAGAAACAGGAACACTATAAGCAGAAAGCAAGAAATAAGATCACAAGCTAACTAATCTGTCGTTGCAACACCGAGTCTTACTTGGCGTGAATTGCACGCGGAGCCATCATAATCGTCTACAAGAACGTCCGGCTTGTCTTTGTGGCCTGCAGAAGACCCAACCTCTCAAAAGCAATCAGTCTCCCGTACTAAACTCCGGAACCCCATCTCCCTCGCCCGAGAACAGCAATACAAAAGAAGTAGCTAGGCGAGGATTTCAAATCGACGCAGGGAGAAGGCAACGTAGACCGAACTCCGATCGCTGCCGTCGGGAGCGAGGGTGAAGGGCTCCGCCGAGGTGGATCCTCGGGGGTTTGGTAAAGTGAGGGTGACCGATAGGCCGTTGCGAAGGGGACAGGGCAGGCGGTTTCGGTTTTAATAGCTACCCCGCACGTGTCTTACACGTGTATCAAACACACAACAGGTCATCAGTTTTATTATTGTTTTTCTTATTTTAAAATAACAAATAATCATCTATTATTTTTCGAAAACGATACTTCTAGAACCATCTGCCGCAGGCACCAACGATAAAATAGTAAATAGAAAAATCGTTTTAATTATTTTTTATCATCAAATCAGCACATCCACCAAATCAGATGGAGGGTTCGGATGAAGCCTTCCATTTGTGAGGTGCGTGGACCGACACCAAACGAGTCTTCCCTCCAGGATCCGAAGTCCTCTCTCCCCTTCCGTCATAAGAGGGGGCACAGTGAGAGAAGGAAACCAGGAAGACAAAGCAGAGCTCTAGGCACGGAGGAAACAAGTTAGCGTACGTCACAAGCCACCTCTACTCCTCCCCGCCCCCGTCCTGATTTCCTCCTCCCTCTTCCCCCACCCAATCCCATCCAGATCTCATCGCCGGAACGTAAATCATCCTCCGAAGACTTTGTATCTTTCGATCGGATTCCTAACCCGTTTCTTATTCCCTCTCTCTCCAATCTCCTTCAATCTCTTCTTCTCTTGTTTTCTGGGTGGACGGAAAGATCTGGTTTCTTGAAGCGCAATATTCTGGTCTCCGATCTCGTTGATCCGAGGATCGGAGATTGTGTTTGATTTTTTCGTGGTTTTGGTGCTTCTTTGACCCTTTTTTTGAAGGATCTTGAGGCGGAAATGGTTGGATCTGGGGTTAGGGGGCTGAATTAGAAACCCTGGTGATGGCAGCGGCGTCGGGTAACGCGGTGGCGGACCCAATGCAGTTGCCGGTGGGCGGGGGTGCGAGCGAGGTGCCACAGCAGTGGTTTGTGGATGAGAGGGACGGATTTATTTCGTGGCTGAGGGGGGAATTTGCTGCGGCCAATGCTATCATCGACCTTTTGATGCATCACCTCAGGATCACCGGCGAGCCCGGGCAGTACGACCACCTTGCGGGATGCATCCACCAGCGGCGATTCCACTGGGCGCCCATACTCCACCTGCAGCAGTACTTTCCCGTCGCCAATGTTATGTACGCGCTGCAGCGGGTGGAGGGGAAACAGCGTCCGCAGATCCCACAGAGGCGCTCCTACGGTCCGAAAGAAAATGGAAGAAAGAACGGATTTGGGCATGGGTACGGACATCGATCCGATGGAGTTCTAGATACCCATGGATCGCTTGCATCTGGTATGGCTATGTCTGACGATGTAAATACAGAGAAGAGGGATGATAAGCTGGAAACATACACTGACACCAGCCAGAAGACTGACGCACCACCTCATGCTGAGAAGGATGGTGAGCGTGCTATAAGCTATCCTACTAATCTTATTGTATAATTTGTAGCAGTATCACATATTATTGGAAAAGCAAGAAATTATCATAAACAAGATCAAAACAGAAATTGGAGACTTTACGATGCACACCCAAATTATCACAATAGCTTACATACCAAGGTAAGACATTTTACCCGTTCTGATCTTCTTTAATGCATGATTTTCATATCCCAATATTGATCATATCTTAACATGGTTTTATCTTTGTAAAAATAGGTTTGCTCATCACAACTTTTTCCCCCTTTAGTATCTGTCCTTGGCATTCATTACATGCTTGAGAATATTTAATTTCCATGGTTAAATGGAGTTAGGTACAACTGCCATTACAATTGTAGTAATTCCACATTATGATCTGATACTCAGTTTATGCAATTAAATACATTCAGGAGTATGCAATGTACCTAGCTCCAAAGCATATAGCAGCCTTAAGGAGATAGCAAACGTAGTTGAGCCCAACTGCTATGAGTCGGAACCCGCAGGTGATAGTCGAGCCTTGGACTGCAAAGGTATGGTTTTGCTATTCGGTAATAACTGTCTTTTGTTTATTTATAGATAGGACTTTATTAGAAGGATGGGTATGCAAGCCTGGATCTGGAATTTCAAATTTTGTTTCAGTGCATTGTTAGTATTATATATCTCATGCATTTTGATAAGAAAAGAAGGTATCAAATCTGCACTGGTTGGATGAGTTTGGTTACTTTGAAGATGTTGTGGGAACTATTTTATTGGATCATTGGATGACAATGCAAGCCAGCCTGATTTGTTTTACTTTGATTTTATGTAGTGTCTTGATCCATTTGGATGTTATTCCTGTGTTCTTGAAGGCAATTTTCAGAGTTTTATATCAATATTTCATTCTGAATCTTATTCTTAAAGAACATTGGTCAACAATAATTTGAGCTTCCGGATAGCCTTTGTTGAATCATATTTTAGATATTAAAAAAATTAAATAATTATGGTTGAACTAAATTTAACCTTATCTTCATACACAGAAAGGTGATTAATCAGAACAATTCTACTGTAGATGATTGTTGATCAATGAAAAGATATTTACCTTGTTGCAAGAACACTATTATCTTTTCCTCTCCAGTTGTCTTCTAAATCTTATCATTTTCCCTTCCTTTTGCCATAGTAGCAAGTACACTAAACCATCTGTTGGTAACTTTTTTTTTTTAATCCTTCCTGTTAAACTTATGTTATTTTTACCATAAAATACTTTTCTAAATCTCTTTTGTTTTTCTTCTATTCAATGTTTGTCACTACAATCAGAAATAGAGCCCATTGGTTTATGGAAAATGGAGAAAACAATAACATCTTTGACAAGGGATACAGAAATAAACATATTGATGAAATCAAGTTGACTTGTGGATTACATGAACAGGACAATTCCAAATCCTAAAGAACATTTAAACAGTGAAGGATCCAGAAGAGGCACAGGAACAATTGCTATGTCATAAATATTGTAGATTGCTCATCCATGTGAGGAATCAATCAAATGGGAAACTAGATATTGTGTGAACGATAAAACCCTATCAGAATTGTATATACTTAGAATATGTTTTATAAGAAGTTGAAGTTTGATTTTCAGGTTTCTTATCTTTCTACAAATTTCAAGGTCTCACCGGGGTTGCTTTGAATGGCATAGAAGGCTAATGCTATCATTTCATGTACCAGTCAAGAGGAAGCTTCATGTTGGTCATGTTGGTTTTTCATCAAGCCCTGGCTCTTGAAGCCTTATGCATTATCAGACAGTCGTGGGAATATGATGGCAGATAGTGAAGATGATTTGGTGCAAGCTGCACTCAGTTAGGTTTACCTTTGATCTGGAAGGAGTTTTAGTTAAGTTTGTCTTGTGAGTGTATGAAGGTTTCAATTTAGTGAAGGTTTATGTAGTGTACAAAAATTTCCATATTCACCCTGCTGATTAGTTAGATAATTGTCCAATCAGAAATTGGATTATTGGATAAAAGTATGTTGATCCATATCTGGCTCATCTTGGATCAGATATGGCTCTATCCAATCCATTTGTAGGCTTCTTCAGAACTGCTGTTGCTTTTGATATTGCTGCTCAAAAGAAGTCAACTGGATATTGTTGGTCTATCACTGTAGCTACAGGTGGTAATGATTGTTTTGAATATATGAAAGATCACAAGCACAAATCTAACTGATGTGGTCAAGAAGCTTAGACAAGCCAAAAGTATCGGACAAAATATCACTTCTCACTCGGGAAACAGACCACCAATCAATGTAACAGGTCATTGAGGAATCTAGACATGGACCCATATTCTAGTTATTATATTTATGAATTATGTGATTCAAGTATGTTGGTCAATTAATTTTTTGGGTACTTCTAGGGATGCCTTTCTTGTTTACGTATTCTTCCTTTAGATGCCTTGCAGCCTCTTTCTCTAGTAGCCACTTCTTTTTCCACTTTTGCCCCTTTCTGTTGCTCCTACATGCCGGTTCATATCAGCTATTACATGAAGCTGCATTCTATATTTTCTTCGTACCATAACTAACCAAAATCAGCAACACAAGTTTAGACAAGTGTCTAAGAACCTAAAACTTCAGTATTTTACATTTTGCTTTGCAAACTCCTTGTGAGCCAAAAAGAGTATCTATACTTTGTCACATACAAATGGTTGCCTTTTAGTTACATAAAATTTGGAAACTAATTGATAGTATATCAATGTCTTTACTGTTGCTGAAGTAGATGAGCAAAAGATGCCTTGTGACTGGGACACCCCCTCAACTGGTTGAATGGCCATCCCCTGAAATGTAACTCTTCAAGAAGCTCTTAATCTCCTTGAAGGAAAGTATTTCTCAATTGTTTGGAGGAAAACAACACAGAAACTTCACTGTTGTATTGTGCATATGAAAAAAAAAGGGAAAATAGTCAATGAATGCACAACATAATTCATCCATAGTGAAATTAAGCAAAGTGTTGGTCAGTAAGCCTGATAGATGGTTCCGCTGCCCTGTCAATGTCCATTAATGCTCTATGAAACAAGTGAAAATTTGGATGATTTTAAACAAAATGTAAACAAGATAATTTCGTACTTGCAATCATGACAAATCAGACTATCATAAGCCTCAAGAAAATTCACTTGTAAGAAACAGTGAGAATTCTTTATCTCTCTTAATTTTAATTTGATGTCATTTCACTGATTCCTCCTGAAGTTTTTATTTCGATTGAGATTTGGTTATTCACCATGCTATGCATCTCTGCCCGAAAGGTTAAAGAATGTTTCTGTACTTGACAATTTCATTTGTTCAGTTCTGCTGGGATGCACCAGTTTGAAATGTTAATAAATTTGTTGAAATTGACTCTTTATGAGGGCTATCTCATTTTCCATACATAATGAGTTTGTATTGTACTTTCATGCCATCACATATGAATGCCAAGAGCTAGAATTTCTAAGATTGCTCTTTAAGGTGGATTTTCTTAGATTCATTACTCTTCACCGATTTTTATTGAGGATTTAATGTGATTTAGTGAATTTTTTTCTTTAACGCAAATATGTGTATCGTTATTGTCATCAATGTACTTGTTATTATTTTTATTGTTCACCCATGCAGAATTTAAAATATATATATTATTTTGTATCAATTCAATTTTTTAGGGACTCGCAATGATTCTGCTAAAGGTGATGTAGATATAACTTCAAATCCAGGCGAAAATCAGAAAGGCTACTTAATGCCAAAAGAATTTTTGGCCAAAGAAATAAGTGATGGCACAATGGTATGCTTCTTGTACATGAAGGAACAAAATATCATTTTATCTAGTCTTATAGCTCAAACCAGCAACTAAACCACAAAACAAAACTTTGTAGGTTAATGTTGTTGAAGGACTGAAACTGTATGAGGATTTTCTGAATAGCTCAGAGATTATAAGACTTGTTTCATTAGCCTATGAAACGAGAGCTGCTGGTCATAGAAAAGAACTCCCAGGCAAGCTTCGCTATTACCCGTTTCCTTCCATCTTTCAGGATAAGACAATAATCATCTTTTTGGATGAATTTTTTACTATTAATTTAAATATTTTCATCTGGGACTTGTTTATGAATATATTATTCATATGATAAACAATATATGATTATGAATATATGTTCATATGATAAATAATAGCATAAAACTAATCAGATAGTTTCTCCCCCAGATGATAATCATATAATGTTTTCACTAAGGGATTGGTTTAGCTATGATGTGGTGCAGTTGCTCTGAATTAATCCCATGGAACTAAGCATATAATATGCTTCACTGACATAAACCGACATCATTGTTCTCGATTCAGCATATTAAATCCTGAATGATGGATTTGATTGGTTCCTACTTTATTTGTTGTTGCAATACTGTGTCATTTAACTCATTGAAAATTCTTTAGCATAATTTCAATCAAAATTTTTGGATCAACAGCCATTAGTCAGAAAAGCTTAATGATTAATGCAAAGGGGCTTGCTCCTGACATCTTTATGTTCATGATAGATTTGCAGATCTATTGTTTTGACTGTAATAGATATTTTGCAACATAATTGGAAAATTGCCTAGTGAATATTTTGTGGAATTTAATATTGTTAAGATGGGGGCAAATTGCAATATAATGCTCTATAAGTAATATTTTTATAATGATAAATCCTTCTCATCATGGAAGGTTTCTCATGGTATATGGAACATGCCTTTTGGTTTTTCATGGATTAGCCAGCTAGCACAAGATGGCTGCAATCGGTAATATCTTAAAGTAAAAGATTCGACTTTTTTTCCTCTCACCATAGACAATTGAATTGTCATCTGAACTGTATTTCTAGTTTTAGATTATTATCCTTGTTACTCCTAATGCAATAAAGTATTTAGATAGTTGTCCATTGTAGTGACTAATGGGACGATCTTTCTTTGGATAAGCATGATACACATGCATATTCCTTGTTATAGAAATCTTTGTTTTTACTTTTCTAATGCACCTGGAAATTCTTTTATGTTTTGAGTGGTTTTTATCGAAACAAAAACAGTGTTTATTGGCTGCTGTATTTTACATGCTTGGAATGATGAAAAAGCAGGTCAAACACTTGTAACATTGAAAAGACCAATGAAGGGACATGGAAGAGAAATGATTCAGTTTGGCATTCCCATTAATGAGGGACCTCAAGAAGATGAAAATACCACTGTGAGCTCTGGTGGTAAGTTACCGGCTTCATGACTGAAGAGTTTCAGTATTCTTTTCTTTTAATGTCTACAAAATCCGCTTTACATGGAATACAAAAATTTCAGAGAAAAAGGTAGCAGCCATTCCTAGTGTACTGCAGGTTATGCTTCATAGCTTGGTTCAGCTGCAAGTTTTGCCAGTTAAACCTGATTTTTGCATTATTGACTTATTTAATGAGGTAAGAAACTTTTACCATTTTTTTGTGGTACTCTAGGAACTTGTTTTAGCAGGAACTGACATGGATGCTTATGTGAAGGGGGATCACTCACAACCTCACACATGGCCACCTTGGTACGGTAGGCCTGTTTGTAACTTATTATTGACTGACTGTGACATTGTATATGGCCGGGCAGTAGGATCAGATCACAGGGGAAACTACAATGGCTCTTTGAAGCTCTCTCTCACTGCAGGGTATGCATTTTGTACACCAGAATTCTTATTTTACATGTTTACTCAAGTTTTCTTTGTTATCTAAGAAACTATTTATAGGTGATCTAATTTGCTTTTCTCTTTACTTTAAGTTAACCAACTAGTGGATATTTTCCTCCATTTAGGTATACAAAGTCTTGTTGAGTATGCAACAAAAAATTTATTGAATCTGTGAATTTATAAAATAGGAAGAAAGAAGAGCTCAAAATTCTTAGTGTCTTGCTAGTCATCGTTTCAAATACTGGTCCAACAAAGAACCGGTATCGGACCATATGGTTTGGTAGCGTTTGGTAATTACGTTTTTATTGTTTTTTGGGATTATACTAAGCGGTATGAGTCAGTATACAATCTTGTACACTGATATTGTATCGGTCCAAGATGTAAAACCTTGCTTCTATCAATAAGTTCAGTGGGATCATGCCTAGAAACAATTTGAACACTTCACTATTAATAGGATCTTTTTGCCCATTCTAGTGTCACTTAAAATACTTGCAAAGGCTACTATTTTCACTAATCATGTGGAATCTATTGTAAGTGAGTTGACAACTCAATTTGCTTGACTATGGACACCCATCAAGTTCAAATTGGACTCATAGCAATGAGCATGCAGTAGAATCAGAAATGTATTTGAATTTCTTTTAAGGCAAGTTGCTTTCTGATAAGTGAAGCATTCAATTTTTGTTTCTTCATTAAGTGGATTTTTTTTTCTTAAAGATTTTATGTTCCTGTTATTTTTGCCACAAACATAAGCAAGCAAAGCAACTTTTCTCTAAGTCTGACAAATGATTTGTGTAATGGGGGGTTTGTCGGACGTGGTAGACAGCAAATGAGTAAGAATTTTCTTTTCTGTTAGCAGATTTTATTCCATTACCAAAAAGTCTGTACAGATGAGCCAATTTGAAAATACAAGTATGTCTCCATGCAAGATACATGTGATTTGAATTTTTTTAATTTTTTGGTATTATCTAACAAGCAAAGAATGGTGTAAAAAGCATGTATGCATAAAACTAAATTTTAGATTACTTTAGTAAATAATACAAAACACCTGATCTTCATCTGTCATATAGTTAGATGAATACTTGCAAAAATTCAACTTGTTTTGATCAGATCAACATCCATTCTATACCTGTGAGAACACCACCATTTTTTTCCTCTGCTTGATGCTTGTGTTAGAATGCTTCATCATAAAAATGAATTCTAGATCAAATTTCCCAAGAAGCTAGAAACAGGTCATCCTTTGTATTAGCCTCGTTATAGTTGAACTGTGAGCAATCAAATGCTTCTTTAAGCAGTCATTATTGCTTTTTTCACTGTGTTCTTCCCTATTCCAGGGCTCTTCTTGTAATGGAAGGAAAAAGTGCAGATCTAGCAAAACGTGCCATCCCTTCCCTTCGCAAGCAGCGCATCCTTTTGACATTTGGAAAATCCCAACCAAAGAACTTCTCCCGTCATCTGCCAGGCCGTAAGCAACAAGTGCCACCAATGCATCCTCAGAGTATGTCTCTTCCAAATGGCGTCCAGCCACTGTTTATGGCACCTCCTGTGGTGCCTCCTACAACTGTTGGGTGGACAGTGGCAGTCCCTCCTATGCACCCTAATCCTCCATTTCCAGTTCCTGGCACTGGAGTCTTTCTTCCCCCTGGTTCTGTCCATTCGCCTCCATCTCAACAGCTACCAGTGGCTCCAATTTCATCTGGGGCTTTCTATGCTCCACATATATTTGCATCATCTGAGAGCAACGGGGCGCAGAAACCAAATTGTAACAATGATGCTTCTCCGAAGAATACACAGGATCTGACTGAGCCTAAGCTGGAATACGATGGGTGCTTGAGCATTGACAATGCTGCCCCTGATGAACAGAAAAATGTGGCTGCTAAGAAGCTGGTGAAAAAGCTGACAGAAAATTCTGCCAGGTAGAGGAAGGTATAGTGGAGACTGAAGGAGAAAAGGAGTCGCATTCTTTTCGAGCAATAGCAGGACGGTCAGGAAACTGGAAAAGAATTTTGGAGCAAATGTAAAGATCAGCTGAGGAATCACTAAACCACCTCTTATCCTTTTCGCATGTCAAGAATCACGAGTAAACCTTTTCATTTTATTTTTTGTAGGGTCTTCATACTTTTTTTATTTCATCTTCAGCTCCTGTTCAATTACACCAACGACTTACAGCTACATTTCTCAAGAGAACCTGAATACACTTGTCGAGGTAATGATGGCATATCTTTCGCACTGGGACGGTAGCAGGTTTCTCTTCAGCTCTAGCTTGATATGAATGCTGATCGGCTGCCTGCTTCTTCCCTATCATCGAACGAGCCCCCAGATAACTCATTTGACTCTTCTCCTGGCCTGATTCTGGTAAACTGTCAAATCTCCTACATATATTTCCTGTACATTATTGCATCAAAGTGAATAATCCCCAAAACATGGCACCGGAGGACTACAACAGGTGTTCCCTGAAGGCTAATAAATATGATTTCATGTTTAAAAGGTTGCAGACTTCGGTTTCATAAATGCTATTCATGTGCATCGGCAGGCAGAGCGTTGTTATGCCGCATTACTCTTCAGTTCTTAATCCTAACATTTCGCAGATGACTCCTCTTCATTTCAGGTCATTACCTGTGTCATTTGGTTCGTGAAGAGGAAACTAAATCCTACAATCAATAGGATAATTCTTGTATAGAATATTTCTTCCAGTTTTATTACATATTGGAGATTCCGTTTTGAGATATTTAAAATCTTAATTTGTTGTTTGTAATATCTCTTAAAGAATCATTTTCCTTCGTCTAATACTACATATATTAAAAACGGCCTTTTATTCTTAAAAAGAATTACTGATACATGAGACATACTTTTATCATTTACAGTCTAATAAAGCTTTCACTGGTATTCGAACGACTCAATTCAAACAAAAGGAATACCGGTATCTGTATTAAATCGTTGCCTGTAGGCACCGTCATATTAGCCTCTCACAGGATAACGGCAATCAACATTTATAACAGCCGTTATTTCAACATTTCGCCGTCCATGAGTCATCAGAGTCAAACTTTCTCAAGATAGCCGACCAATCGACGGACAAGCAATCCCGGCGCCCTGGCGCCGCACCGTGCCACGTGTCCGACCAGGCTGAACTCCACCGGACGCGTGGATCCCCCAGTGTCACCAGATATCACAGTCGAAATATTTTACGGCACCCAACGAGTACATCCCTAAGGCTCAACTTCCTTGGGGCCCATGCTTCGCATCTCTCCCTCTGGCCTACTTACTATTCATGGGTGAGTTCGGTTGTCATCAGAAACGGCATGCACGCGTCGAAGGGGTTCCGTCCTTCCATTGTGTTCTATTCCCTTCGACGCCAGCGATAAAAGAATGACCCGACGGGCATTCTTGGGATGCGTAGAGATTGGCAACGGGAGGGCCCTCGGATTCGTGGAACTCACGACGTCTCGCCAATCCAGAACGCTAAAAGATCGGATCTAAAGATTCGATTTCTCCCTCTCTTTTGTGATCTCATCGCCTCACTTTTGTTGATCTTTGGAGCCGTGTGAAGACCAGTTCCGATCGAGATGGAGGCGGTGATGAGGGCGGAGCGGCCGATGCTGACGTCGGGGGCGAGCGGCCGCGTCGCCGCCCTCCTGTCCGTACGCGTCCTCCGGGGGCTGCTCCTCCTCCTCCAGGCCGCTGCCCTCCTCCTCCTGCTCCCCTTCCGGTGGCGGCCGCTGCTCGTGTCCACGGCGGAGCGGTCGGCCCCCGCCCCGGCTGATGGGCGTCCAGAGGCCAGCAGGAAGGGCGGGCACGGCGGGGTGGTGGTGAGGGTGCCGGCCGCGATGGTGCCGCGGAGGCAGCGGGAGCATGATGCGTCGTGGAGGCGGGCCCTGGCGGTGCGGCGGGTGGTGGAGGCGATGAAGGAGGGGCAACTTGGAAGGGACTTCTCGTTGTTTACCACGGCCAGAGGCGACACTCTTTTCACTCAATCTTGGACTCCTGTAAATTTGAAGACCAGGTAGGGCTTTGATCCTCCAAGTTCTCATGTTATTGGGTTGAAATAACACGTTGTTTTCTTTATATTTCTTTTGTTTCTTTTTTGTCTTTTCGTCAGACCCTACTTTGTGCAATCTTGTACCTGACACGTGTAGATTATTCATCGTATCTCTAAATTTTTAGGTAATCTTGGACGTCATGATTGTTTCTTGGGTATCCATGCTTCAAGACGAAATTGTGTTTTCCACCTCTTGCTCATTCTTGATTGTGTCTGGATTAGTCTTGGAGGGTTGCTTCTTGGAATGAGCGTCATTTGCTTTTTGTGTAGAGTCTCATGTCGTTGGGTTTGGTAGGAATGGTCACAATCCGTCGTCTGTATGTTTGGGACTGTGATAATCTGTTTCTGCATAAATATCTGACTTCTAAGAAAGTAACAAGTTCTTCCATGTCGCCTCCTATTGAATTTCTACATATGGATTACTTCGGTGTCTTTTAGCTGCAATGTATCAAGAACACTTGGGTTAATCAACCTAGCTTGTCTAGAGTTGCCCTTGACATAAAGGCACTATACTCATGTGCCCGAGATTTTAATGTGAATGCATGATGGATCAATTACCATAGCTAGATAGAAGATAGATAATCATTTTTTTGTATCCAAATATTGACTGGATTGCTGTGCAGGGGTTTGGTTGTTCTGTTGCATGGATTGAATGAGCACAGGTATGCGATGTAAAATCTTCATGTTATTTTAAAGACTGCATGTCTTGTTATTTATAAAACAAGACATGCTTGTCTGTCAATGGTGATAGAGATGATCATTTAATAATGTTGTTATTTTTGTCCCAGTGGTAGATACAATGACTTTGCTGAGAAACTCAATGAAAATGGTTTTAAAGTATATGCAATGGATTGGATGGGTAAGTTCTTTCTCCATTAACATTTTCACTTTTAAGGTCAGTCATTCCATTATCGTAAGTTGATCAGTGTTATGCATATACTACGTTCTTGCCACAAGTTTGTTTCTGTTGTGTACTTTGATGTTATGCATACAAATGGATCATCGATGCCATCCAATGACATGGACAGTACCATAAGCAACACTAAGGAGCCATTAATTCTTTATTCAACATATGGCATGCATCCACTGTATCTGTATCATGAGATCCAACAACAATTATAACATACATAATACAAATAAATGATTAATATCATGTTTATGCATTAATCATGTATGGCTGCTTGCTGTCTGGTCAGCTTCGAGAACAGAGTTCAATGATGCTAGAATAATCATAATTGGACATCAATAGACATTTAATAATATTTTAATAACGGATCATGACAGTCTGGTCCTTGCAATCAATTATCCTAGACCAACTGATCAGACAGGGTTCAAGGAACCAATGCACCTCTGCTCATATTAAGATAGCTTAAAATCAAACTGGGTTCAACTAGGTTAAGTTTAATCTGGTAAAGCTCAGAACTAGCGTAGGGAATAGATAATACTGCACACAAATTGTGCTAAGCTTTTACTTGGCGTTGGTGGAAATAAAGCAAACTTTATGCAGGTTGAACTTCTACTAAGCACTCCTTCCTGCAAAATTTCGCACAAGCTTATTAATACAACTCGGAACTCTACATTGTGCAATATATTATCTTTATGTGTGGTAAGATTACATGATCTGCACAATATATTTGATATTCCCTACATATGCAAGTCAAAAGTCTAATGTTGTCAATAGCTTTCTAGCGGCCTATGTCAAATATGCAGGTTGATATTGTTGATTTTGTTCTTAAACATCGCTTGTTAATTAATGACTTCAATTCTTCCCACATTTATATGATAAAAAAAGAAACTCGACTTTGATCTGACCTATTCCAGTGTCTTGGGTGAGACTAGGTTCTTGTTTAAAATACTATGCCAATTAAATTTTCAGGAGTCCTTAATTTGGTTTTTCAGGTTCCAAATGTAATGTAGCACCCTATGACTTGGCTCAAATTGGCTTTAATCTTCGTTGAGACAAGTCAGGTTAGCTAGTCTTTAGTTCTTGGTTAAATACATAAATTTGAAGTGTGAATATAAAATATATACATTTTAATTGAACATATGTTTTGATTAAATGAAAATAGAATGTGTGGTCATGTACTGCACTGTTTCTATAGATATATGTTTTGTTTCAACATGTGTTTTAACTAAATGAAAACAGAATGGTTTTATCGTGAATTTCATAATGTTTATTTCCTTCTTCGTAGGCCATTTAAATTCCTTATTAACTTGTATTGACTGTAACTGCACGAGGCAAAGATACTACAACTTTTCTGTTGATTGGATTTTTCAATTTTTGTCAAGATTAGGATAATCATTGTATTTAATGTGTTAAACTATCACCGGCCAGTCTATCAGATGAGAGAATATAGTTAATTGTTGAGTGGAAAATTAGTTCAATTTTGATTAATATAAGTTAAAGCTGATTTTGCTTGAAGAATTACTTCTTCTCAATCTAACTTTTGAGAAGAAGTACATAATGGATAGACTATTAAAATATGTAGTGGCTTGAAATAGCAGTTCAACCATATATGTTTTGGCTTGTCGAACAGTTCTGGCTTGAACCTTTTTTTTTTTAATCTATGTCCTCAGGACATGGTGGAAGTGATGGGTTGCATGGATATGTTCATTCCCTTGATTATGCAGTTAGTGACTTGGTATGATCTCTTAACCACAGTGCCATGCATTATATTGCCTTAGGCTAAGTTTTCCTGACTATTGTTTTATTGCAAAAAAGGAAACATTTCTGGAGAAGGTCTTGGCAGAGAATCCTGGGACACCTTGCTTTTGCTTTGGACACTCAACTGGTGCAGCTATAATTCTTAAGGTAGTATGCGTTCATATGTCAGACATATGAGCATTACAGTACCTGTATTTTGTTGTTAACAATGTGGAATATCTATTTTGTGGGCTTCAAATTTATTATGAATTATTCTTCGATCATGAATATTTATAGGCAGCCTGTGATCCAAAAGTAGAAGGATGGATTAAAGGTCTCGTTTTAACGTCGCCTGCTGTGCTTGTTCAACCTTCTCATCCAATTGTAATGGTTAGTTTTCTGCTCTGTCCTGTTTGCACATCATTACAAGCGATATTGTCGACTTGAGCGAGTATTCCCTAACATGGATGCATCATACTATATGTGATTGCATAACTGCAGTTAATACACAAGTGTTCCAACTGTTTATAGACTCTTTGATTTCTTGAAAGCCATTGTCACAGAATCTTTTACTTAGGGCTTAATTGGTGATTATGTTTAATAATGATCAACTGTTCAGTGTCCTAGGAAGTATCATTTCCATCCACTTGATACCAGTATCATTTGGGTTTCATGGGTTCCTACCAAACAAATCATTGAGGCTGGAACCAGTGTTCACTCTGATTTTTCTGAAACGGCTTAGCTTTCTTTAAAGTTGACATTCTCGTTAAACTAGTGCAATGAGACTACTATGGAGCATATGTAATTAGTTAGGATTATTTGATATTATACTTGTAATTGGTTAGTTGCTTGATTATACATTTTATGAAGAAAAAAAAAAAACACTAGTTGGTTGTGTAGCAAGTATTGAGATATGCTACTTTCTCAAGTTATGTTGGGAGTTGGAGAAAGAAATGAGTACTGGTCTGCAGCCAAAGGATTGGGTATTTTGCATCCTTACTTTAACTAAAATATGACAAGATGATAAAAGGAACTGACAAGAGTTTGTCAAATATTCCCAGTAAATCTTTATGCATTCTTCTTTCCTCCCTTTCGACTGTGATCATTTATCTTAGTTTCCTGGTGTAGAAATTATTGAAGCCACTGTACCATATGACTGTTAGATCTTATAAAGAATTTTAGTCCACTGTATATGTTGTGTACTTTGTTTAAGAATATCTCGAGAGATTCAATAATAGAGCAGCATGCAACATATGCCGTTGCCAGTAGAAGAAAAGGATTGAAAAACAGTGTTCTTGACAGATCTAGGCTAACATAACGAAAGTATGACCTATAGTGCTTGATACAGTAGATGCATGTCTGCATGCATTGGGTCATTGGATGATGTTTTTTTCTATCAATATGCTTTCGTAAAAGGTCAAAGTTTCATTTGCAGAAGATGATAATATTACCTGGGAATTTCTGAATCTTGTATTTCATTGAAATTGGGGGGTAATATAGTCCAATTGTTTTTGTTTCAATAATTTCTGTTACTATATTTATTCAAGGAAGAGAGTTGGTGTATCATGTGTATCTAACATTGTGCATCAAGGACGAGAATTTACCACAATGTTGTCTATGTGGTAACGAGTGAGAGTTTCAAGATGATGATAAATTGGAATTGGTAAGATATGTTATTTCAATTGATATAGATAGCATATATTCTGTGGTGAAAATGATATGGTAACAGATTGTGTTAGTACTACTAAATGCATATGTTGTATAAAATAATTGGTCAATGTATGAGGCTAATCTATTTAAATCTTTTGTTGGTCTTAACAATTTGAGATGTGGCAAAGGTCTTTGATCACTGCACCTGTGGCAGGTTCTCGCCCCAATGTTCTGTCTTCTAGCCCCAAAATATCAATTTAGTGCTGCAAATAATAGTGGATCAGTTGTTTCTCGTGACCCTGAGGCCCTTCAATCCAAGTACTCCGACCCATTGGTTTTCACTGGTTCTATCAGAGTCAGGACTGGTTGCGAGATCCTACGCATGTCAACATACCTGCTACAGAACCTCAACAAGATCAAAATTCCTTTTCTAGTTCTCCATGGTGCTTCTGATACTGTAACTGATCCTGAAGGCTCTCAAAGGTTATTTGATGAAGCTTCCTCAACAGATAAGTCAATCAAACTGTACCACAATCTCCTACATGACCTTTTAATCGAGCCTGAGAGGGAAAAGATCATGCAGGACATAATCGATTGGTTGAGCTTCAGAGTTTGATAGTTCAATCATGCTCGGAGAAGCCGACTCAGATTAGGCTTGCTAAAATGACATTGTGGTATCAATTTTTTTGTTGGTTAGCCACTCACCGTTGAGAAAATATTTTGATGCAGCCACTTGATGGCTCACCGAAGCATGTCATATTGTACTAATTATCAGTGATTTGAATCATTTGATTCCCCTTTGTGGTGTTGGTGCATAAGATAGGACACTACTTTTCTGGACCACTGAGGGATGCCTTGTTATTGTAACTTCTTCCATGTAAACTTTTCAAGTACTCATTGTGTTTGATTGGGTACATGTGCCACTCATATTTAATGATATTGGTGTTTTTTATTAGATCCTTTTTAATATAATGGGGCTCCATTATAAATTGTGCTTTGTTATGCGCCTTATGCCACTGAGTTGATGAAGGGATCTGAGCCTGCTGAGGTAAATTTTTTAGTCATTGACAATTTGAGCACACATTATGCTAATTGGCTTATTAGACATTCTGCTGATCTCTTGTTCCTTCTGCTGCAGCCTAAAACATTCGGCACAAGTAATTCTTTGCATTGTCCTGATCCTGTCTTCTAATAAGCAATTATTGGTGGACAGCAAATTGTTTTCCAAATGACTGCTACTTGAGACCAATACCAACAGGATGGGATCTGGTTACGAGATGGGTAAGACAAGGAGCTTGGCTTCAAAATCTAAAATAGATAATTTGAACAGCTCTTTATTGTAGAATGCTAAATTAGAATGACCATCCTAGGGTTTAAAATTTGATGTTATCTTACACTATTTTGATGTTAGTACTCTTCCATTTGTTGGTTATATAATTTCGACCATCCGACCAATGATCCCATGGACAGCTTTCTAAAGAACTGGTAAATGTCAATGGCTAAACGTTTCAAACAATTGTGGTCTTCTGCTGACACCTTAATGTCCTACTCATTTTTCTGTCTGTACTGTGACTTGCTAGTCAGGTTTTTATTGATGACTACTTTTGCTCCCCTCTTTTGACAACAAGAGTGATATTATTATGGTGCAGTTACTTGGGTTGCTTTGATGATTGTAGTATATTACATCACAAGTGTAACCTTTTCACGTTAGGGTTCTGTAGAGTTGGTAAGCTGCAAAGTATAGGAAGTTTGATGAGTTCTTCCTTGTAGAACATCAAATTGCTGCCTGTCTCCTTCTTAGTGTTTGTCGTTGAATAGGGAGATGAAGCAGTCAAGTTTCTCAGCTGTGACGTTCTTGCCTGCTAAGAATAGAGACAAGTCAAAGCTAAGTTAGCATCATTAGTTCCTGTTGATGAAAATTATATTACTATGTGAAGTGCATGGACACATTTTCTAGTGCTTTCATATCAGATATCGAAACCTCACTTGCTTGTCTTCTTCTTTGCAGCTCATCATCACAACAACAAGGACGCTGTCTTAAAAAGTTCCAACTTGTCTCATGGATGAACCCACACAAGTGCTGTAAACTAATCTTCTCAACAAGGTGGCATCCTCAACTAGTTTACAGTGATTACTTTGTTACACATCTTGGTGAATTCCTACATGTTGCATGAGCTGTGATTTCAATTATGAAGGGTAACTTGATCACAAGTAGATGCCTAGATAATGATGACACACCCATCAATCAATATAAAACACATGCGAAAAGGTTAAAGCTGCATTTAAGCATGCCTGATATCGTCAAGTGCTGGATTAGTGACTGATGTTTATTTTAGGAGCCAAGTTGATTTAGATCAAAAGCATCCTTCTAATTCCATTTGGCTAATAACAATAAGAGGATAACTTTGGATGGACTTAGTTAAGGATAAAAGATCTTTCTCCTGCATCAGTATATGCAATTGGACACTAGATTAAAACTAGTCCATCTCTGTTTCTTGCACACAATTTGGATCATCTCAGTTACAGAAGTAGGAAAGAATTTGAAGAAAAGATTTTACTATCACTAGTTGCATGAGAGAAACTCCTAAAGAATAGCAACTTGTGACATACAAAACACAGAAGAAAGATCATTTATTGACTATATTATGATCTATGCAATGCCTACTGTGATAAGACTATTTATGTAATGGATGGTTTGAGCAACTCCAAGGGTCATTGTCACCAAAATCTGGCTCCTGTCCACCTGCAGATCCTATCGAATCACTATTGAGATTAATAAAGTCACAAAATGTTATCCATATCAATGTAATGCAACCCACTTGGGTCCTTGTATATGAGGATATATGGTTGATTGGTTAGCTTGCAGGTTGTATCTGGGGGTTGTCTTGGTTTGGCCCACAACTGTTCGTTGTGATTATGTTTAAGTCCAAATTTAAAACTGCTACTGGTTTATTTCATCATCTAATGTTTTACTTTAAAATGTATTACATGGAAATAGATAAGGGTTAGAGAGAAGTATAGAGAAGAAGACAAAATGTAGAGGAAAGCAGAGAAGAAGAAAACAAGTTGGTGGTTGGTCCTCGAAAAAGAAAACACCATTAGAACAACTGTAGATATCAACAACTACAAAAGGAGAATGATGGAACAGTAAGCTTATCTTATGAAGAGGGCCAACTTCTTATTTGTTGACTAATCCAATGCTTGATTCTGAGGTCCATTAGAACTCCCAAATCATTGGTTCTCTACTAGCATTTTTTTTTTATATTTAAGGGGAATTGATGGGATCATTTATCTGTCTGATTAGTCCTTTCTCTTTTCCACAACAAGACTTCCTGTTAATATACTGGTAGCTAATTAACTGAGCATTTCAAGACACAACTATTCAAATTGACAAGTTAATTAGAAGCTAAGAGACTGTATGATACAATTTGATAGTGCTTATGAGTTTAATTCTGGTTCCTCGATGAGGTTCTCGATAGGTTGGATTGGAGATGGCCAGGAGGGACCATAATGCTCCCTACAGTTGAGAAAAGAACCTGAAAACAAAATGTAGGAAGAGGGAGATGAGACTCGGGGTCGCAATTGCAAGAAGTCAGATGGAGAAGCGGGCAGTACTTGATCATAGAAGACAAAGACAAGGACTGGGAACTAACTTGGTTCGTGTCTGTTCATGTTAGTCTTCTAGTGATTAGTTTACTGACTTAAATTATAACTGCATACAAGTTGTTACTAATGAAAGCTTATTTCTTGAGCTAGTAAGAAAGTGACTACCGACAACATGGGTTTGTTAAGAACTTAGATGGGCAACTTAGATCAAACTCACGATCACATGTTTCAGACAGACAAGTTGGCTTTGTACAAGTAGGAGAGTTTTTTTTGTAAGGGCAAGTTGGACTAGACTCTGTTGGCCTCCTAACCCTATGTTACACTCCTATTTCAGCTTAAAGAACAGCCTCCACACCAATACACCATACCATCCACATGAGTGGCAGAAAGATCCAAGAAGGAACATATGCTACAGTGTGTCCATGGTCCCTAGTTTTCCCCTTGTCCCTTCCTAGTGGGTTTGTTTGTGTGGCATATTATTCTCACCAGTTACAGTCATTGACATGCAACATCCTACAAGTCAGAGGAGATCCTCCTCCAACTTGCCACAAGTCTTTTGTATCTTTAGCTCTCAGCAGGACTTTCTTGCGGTCCCCTGTATCCTCCCTCCATCACTCTTCTTATCTATATACCTCCTTTCGATGCTTTGAAGCAAATCCTCCCTTCCCTTCCTCGCTCTTCCGCTGCCATCATGCCAGAGAAAGAGCAGCAAGTAGAGGTTAGCACGTGCTTTCTTCTCGTCTGTGAATGTTTCCTGCAAGAACTAACCAAAATACTAATCTTTGTGCAGGTCTTGTGGCCAAGACTGGTGGCGAACAAGCTGCTGAGGCGGCCGGTGGGTAACAATTCCTTCGTTGCAGATCTCCCTTGTTCAGACGTGTTGCTCGAACTCGCAAATTTGGATGAGTTCGACCCAAAGAGACCCCGGAAATATCTCAAAGATACTCGCAAATACAAGTGTGTTTCAAGTTCTTTTCGACCATTTTTAGACTTCGATGTAGGCAATGACCGTAAAGATTTCTAACATGAAGTATCTGCTTTTTGCTCCTTTTTTTTTCTCTTGCAGACTATACGTTGGTACTTGGAATGTTGGTGGCATCCTTCCATCAGATGATGTAAACCTGGAGGACTGGTTAGACATTAACAACGATTACTATGACATTTATGTTCTTGGGTAAATCCATCTTTTTCCTGAGATCACAAAGAACAGATGAACTTGTCCTCTTTTCATGAGATAACAATTGCTGTTGCTTCCCTCAGATTCCAAGAGATCGTTCCGCTCAGTGCCAAAAACGTGCTAGGCGCAGAGAAGAGAAGAATCCTTGCACAGTGGAACTCCCTCGTCAGGACAACACTGAACAAGTCTTCATCCAACTTGGAAGGTCGAAAAGAACCAAAGGTGGGGGAGAGGCACAAGGCGTGTCCAGCGAAGGAAGGCTTTGCTCGAGATTTCCGGTGCATTATAAGCAAGCAGATGGTCGGAGTTCTGGTGTCAGTGTGGGCGAGACATGAGCTCCAGTACTACATCCGCCACCCGAGCGTCTCCTGCGTCGGCTGCGGCGTCATGGGCTGCCTGGGAAACAAGGTCTGTCATGTTACTCTGGATTCTGCTTGCTTATAATGGTTCGGTTTCGGTTTCGGTTCGTCATTGAGCTAGTTCGCGCGCGCAGGGTTCGGTTTCGGTTCGATTCTGCTTGCACGAGACCAGCTTCTGCTTCGTGTGCTGTCATCTGGCTTCGGGAGGAAGAAAAGGGGACGAGATGAACAGAAACTCGGACGCCGTGGATGTTCTCTCAAGAACCAGCTTCCCTCGAGGTCCTTCTCTCGATCTGCCACACAAGATCTTAGATCATGAGTAAGTTGAATACGGCTGCTACTATCATGATGAATGGATCATGGTTCACCGTAAGCTCTGATACACATCAATGTTGTGGATTCCATGCAGTCGAGTAATCTTGCTGGGTGATCTGAACTATAGAATCTCCTTGCCTGAGGCCATAACAAGATCTTTGGTGGAGCAAAAGCAATGGGACATCTTGTTGGAGAGAGATCAGGTACTCTAGACACCACCTTGTCGTAGAACTCATTCACCTCAATTGCCATTCAAGTCTCATCTCTCTCTTTTCTCTCTCTCCACGCGCAGCTCAGAACAGAGGTTTCCAAGGGCAGGGTATTCGAAGACTGGCAGGAGGGGGCCATAACATTCTCCCCCACCTACAAATACTACCCCAACTCCGACAAGTACTACGGGTGCATTCAAGGCCAGAAAGGCGAGAAAAGGCGAGCTCCGGCATGGTGAGTCACAGTGCATTCTCCTCCGCGTCTCCTCTCAGAGCTGAAACGAAGCCTGCGATGGTACACAGGTGCGACAGAATCCTGTGGCACGGCGACGGCCTGAAGCAGAAGCGCTACGACCGGTGCGAGTCGTGGCTGTCCGACCACCGGCCGGTCCGAGCCGTCTTCACCGCGAGCGTGGACGTGCGGCGGAGCTTCAACTCGCTCGGGAGCTTCTTCCTGTCGGAGAGATTTGATCGGCCGGACGACGAGCACGCAAACGGTGGCGGTGGAAGAAGAAGAAGCATTAACGTCGATGCCTTGTGATCGAGTCCTCGCTATGACGTATTACGAGGGACATAGCGAGATTTGGCTACGTAGATAGATAGATAATACAGAGTATAATTTGCTCCAATTTTTAAGGTTGCTCCTCCTGTTTACATATTGCTCCATGCAAGCGAGGGATGGGATTTGCATCCATGACATGAGATTGGATGTGACACCAACTTGGCTGCCGGCTTCCATGATATCAGAAGGGTTGGTTTCTAATTCTATTCCAATGTGCGTTGATTGGTGGGGACGGGAGGTGGAGTTGACCTCACACCACGGCAGATTGGGAGACCAAAATGTGGGAGAAGGGTTGCAGTGAGGTGGGATTTGACATCGGACGATGGCGACTTGGCAATGGCTCGAGTCTCTTTTCAATGCGGGGGACGCTTGTCCTCCTCACCCGAGGAATTTTGTTGGGGTCATTGAGAGAATCTCCCGATGGATGGATGGATGGGTCTCTGAAATTGACTGGCTTGTCTGAAGCAAGCCCAAAAAACATTGATGGACAACACAAAGTGGGGGATCGATTTCAAACATCGTTTAGTACTGTGTTAGCAAGCATGACAAGAAGATACAATTAATGGAAATCAAACATATTACACCCCTTCGATCGAACCTTATCTACAGGGCATACTTTGTTCCTCGGACCTCATATCTACAGTCTAAAGCTAAATGCATTGGCACGCACAGAACACGAACACAGTGCATGCAACAGATATGCTGAAACAGTATCGATTATGGGAAGCTGGAGTCGAGCATGCTCCTTCTCCTCTTCCTCTGCGGAGCCATCCGCAGTGTTGACGTGACGTCATCACCACTATCCTCCCGAGCAGTCGTGGCGGTGGCAACAGTGCCGCCAGCGGCGGAAGACGACGCCTTGTTCCTGTGCTTGTACATCCAAACCTTGAAGGACCGACGCTTCACTCCGATCTCCCTGCAGAACCTCGTCATGGCCGGTTCGGCCGCAGTTCCACATGATTCCTAATATAGATTCAACATATATGATATGTTCGCATTAATGGCATGCATTACACCTTCGATAAGACTTCAAACACGTCTCGGTAATTAATGACTGCTTTCATTGAACGCATTGCCAGGGATGGATAGAGAGTGCGATGAGGTCCAGTTGCATTGATGGGAAGATGCGTCGTCTCCCGTGACCATAGTTTTCTCTCTCTTGATCACCCGCTGCCGAGCAAGCTTTCGTTTGTGTTGTTGGTGGGTGTGCTTCCCGACGTGTACCGACATGGGTTGATCCAGAGTTTGGAAGCGGGGAGATGGGGACGCAGCACCACACGACGACATCGTAAGTCAAAATCATTGAATTATATATCAAATCCAATTTCACATCTTAGAATTATGAGTTTATACTGTGAATATTGATGGATGATAACACAGAAAGAATTAATTTTCGATTTAAAAATTAAAAAAATAAAAGATTTATCAAATATAATAGAATTGATTACTCTCCAATGTTAATATATATATATATAATTATTTATTTATATTTAGAGAGATTATTTTCTTATCATAAAATAGCTTCAATCAATGTATTACTTATCTTCTGAGAAGGGATATAGATATGGATATAGATATAGATAGATACAGATATAGATATGGATATGGATGTTACATTTATGGGTAAACATGTGCGTATGCTGCGGCATATTAGTATAAGCAGAGAAGGATGGATCATTAAGGCTCCAACTTCATTAGTAAACCTTCTGCGCTCATCAAAAATCCATCTTTGCCCCCCTTTTGTGTTCCCCCTATTTCTCACGCGCCAAGGAACCCTAGACTCTCGCTCTCTCTCTCTCTCTCCTCTCTCTCATACACAGCGAGAGAGAAAGAGGGAGTGGATCTTCTCTCTCCCCGGCCGAGGTAACTTTCTGTGTCTTCTTGGCCTCTTTGCTTTGCAAGTGAAAAGGAGTGTTTTTGGAGAACCCTAAGGTCAAAATCTTTCTGTGTTTTCATTGCATTTCCGAAGAGATTTCACCTCGACTTGAAACCCTACAAGTTCAACCTTTGCTAGGTTTTGGTGTTCGCTTTTGTATGGGTTTCGATCCTAGTTTTGGATGTTCTTCATGGTTATGTGATGGGATTTCTTCAAGATGCCGCCTTTTTTTATGTTCTTTTGTTGGTTTTTCTGGCAATGTGGTTTCCTTGCTTCATGTATTTGATTTTTTTTTTTTGGAAGGGGGTTGATGGCGTTGGTGAGATGAAGACGGTGTGTCGGATGGTTGATCGTAGTCGGTGAAAAGAACCGTTTTTTCTCTCGCATTTGGCCAAATCGTCGAACCTCCCTTCTCCTCGAATCTTCTGTCGTCGGCTTATATGGATGACGACGGCGGATTAGGCATCCGGAATTGGGGCTTCTATGAGCCGCCAATGAAGGGAAACCTTGGGCTGCGGCTCATGCCTTCTGTGATGGAGCGTGATGCCAAGCCTCTTTTGTCGAGTGGTGGGTTCATGCGTCGGCAATGTGGCATTCCGGAGCCATCGGTCCCTCCAAACTTTGTTAGGGACGGATGGCGCCACCATGGCAACGACAGTAGCAAGAATGACCTTCTGAGAGACGGGTGGATTCACCATAACAGCGACAATGACAAGAACTTCCACATTTTTCCTGTGAACCACCAGCACCACCCTGGTTATGGTGTCATCCCCGATCCTCCCACCGGCCACAACCTCCAGATGCTGCAACATCCAGAGCCACAACCCAAGCATGATAAGGTTTTGACGATGGAGGCCAATGGTGCTAAAGATGAATCCCCTTTAAAGAAGAGGTCCAGGGGTCGGCCACAGAAATCACCAAAGCCGAAGAAGCCTAAGAAAGCCGTAGCACCAAGCGATGATGTTCTCAATGGCTCGCTTTCGCACGAGAAGGGTGGAAGGAAGAGCACAGGCATGGTCATTAATGGGATTGACTTTGATATCTCGAGGATCCCAACTCCGGTATGCTCTTGTACAGGAAAGCCACAACAGTGCTACCGTTGGGGCATTGGAGGGTGGCAATCAGCATGCTGCACCACCAGCATTTCGATGCATCCCCTTCCAATGAGCACCAAGAGGCGGGGGGCACGCATTGCTGGTCGAAAGATGAGTCAGGGTGCATTTAAGAAGGTTCTGGAGAAGCTTGCTGGAGAAGGGTATAATCTCAGTAATCCAATTGACTTGAGGACATTTTGGGCCAAGCATGGCACCAACAAATATGTGACTATCAGGTGATGACACATTATGTTGGATGGCTATCGATCTTTACCTCAGCATTGGATCTTTGCTTCCCTTTGTGTACATTAATCTGTACCTGCAAAGGTCCTCTGGAGCAGTCTGAGTGCAATTTTCTGTATCAGCAACCTTGACATGGTGTTTGAGGTTCCGACACTCCTGTGGGTATCTTGGCTTCTTCCATTCTCACCAAAACTTGTACGTTTAATGGAAACAATGCTGCCTAGGTCAAATGACTTTCTCTTCAAATGCATAGAACTTTTCCTCACTTTTTATTACTTCTTATCTAGATCCTTGCACAAATTTTTTGGTGTGATGTTTGATGGTTGTCTTATATCCATGAACTTTAATTTTTCTTTTGTAATGTTTAGATATTTTATACTTCTGATCTTGGTGCTAGCAGCATCTAGTTTTAAGAGCCAAAATGGTTATGCTGACTAAGTCATCATTTAGAAATTACTTGCTTTGAAGTAATCGAGGATATCTTCTGCCATCATCCTATAGATCATTTGTGTTCCAGAAAACACTCATATAGATTAGTAAAAATAGTACTGAAGCTTTCTACATGCTCTTACACTTCCTTCAATTCAGTCACAATAGAAGCAGTAATTTTTCTTATCATGAACAATTTAGCTTCTATGTTTTGGTGTTCCTCTGTTATGTGGATAACCTTGACCTCCTTTGCTTCTAAAATTGATTATAAAATGACTTCCATGTGCGAAAAAAAAGGGCCAAATTATACATGACTGGTTTCTGTTTCTAATTTCAACAGTGGTTTTAATGCTTTTGGCCGTTTTAGAAATGATGTCCCAACTGGACAAAGTTCTAGTAGTTTAAGTCATTACAGATTGGGATTGGCAAATTTTCAGCATAAATTTACATTAAGAAGGTACTTTAAATAAATGATATGGCTTTTACGACAAATCCCGACTGAAACTGGAACCAAAACTGGATTATTCTGTCCCATCAAAACACAAAACCTTCAAATATTTCTCTTGCCTATTTGGACCAACACTCTCTGCTTATGTTTCTGAAGCTGAGATTTTATGACTTCCATTGAGAAATACTAGTTGCATCGAAACAGAATGATTATTAACTGAGGTCTCCTTTAATAGCTAACATATTCCTCACCATCCAAGTTAAAAGGACTCAATAATTTTTAGAAATAGAACACGGGATGGGGCAGAAGGGCCATCTGTGTCACACTTGTGCTGCTTGGGTTGATTAATTTATTAAGGTGTAAAATATCCACTTATGTTAACTTGGAAAGTTTGGTGCTATAGTGTTTCAATGAATCTTTTTAGAGATGCATGGTCATGTATAATAACTTCATTGGTAAAGAACTTAGAGAGGAAACATTTAGGGTCATCTTTCAAATGCATTAACTTTTGCAATATGTCAGTCTTGTCCAGCTTCTTGTATGATGGTTAAATAGCTTGCAAAGGGGGGTTCCAATGTTTGATTCTATCCTGTTAACTAGGAGTGTTGTGCTGGAAAAATTTTAAGTGAAAAAGTTACATGATTTGATATTGTATGTATGTTAGGCTTCTCCTTGGTTGGGAGTTTGCATGCCAGAGTTACCGGAGTTGGTGAGAATACTTCTTTTCCCTATTCTATCTTAATGTTGTGGTTGGTTCATCTTATTGTGAAAGATGCTAGCTTTTCTGCACGGTAAAACTGATAGCAAGAATTCTTTGCATGTTATCTTATCTTCTTGGAATTACTAAACCCTTTCCTCCTCATTTGTTTACCCTTGTGATCCACATTTACTGTCATACTAATATTCACGTCCTTCGCTGCCTAAAGAACTAACTCAAGTTGTTTGGTTCATTACCAGAGGTATCTTTTAGATGGTTTAGAGCATCTTGTAATCCTTTCAGTCATATGAATTTTAGGATATAAAGATACAATATAGCCTGGATAAGTTTTGCCATATGAATTTTAGGTG